ACTCTGGGTCTGAAATTAGGTAATTGCTATCGCTCCACGACGGCCAGTACAGAGTAACAATAAGCCTTATGTGTGCTTCCATTAGTTTTGATTGGTATGCGGTGCTTTATTGGCGAGAGGCGAGCCGCTGTTTACCTGCGACAAGAAGTTGATTTTTCGAAAGTCGTAAAACTCAAGTCGCAGTGCGAAGCAACACTTCAAAAACTCACCTGCTTGATATGGCGCTTCTGGTCATCGCAGAGCCATGAAATTTTGGCTCGGAGTATAACACATCGTAGTCTCACTGTGACATATGTTTTCTAATCAAAATACCAAGAGAGAAAGTGAATATTGAGTCCGTTCCGGTTTGCAACCTATGTCCTATTTGAAACCGTCCCCTCTACATTGTGATGGGAAGTGGGAGTTGTGCGAGGAGCTGAGAGCGAGACAGTGCCTTTTTTAAAGGGGAAGTGCATCGATTTTTCAAGTAGGGCTCAGATGAAAGACAATTGGATATCGGTTCCGATGGTATATCTCTCGCTTGCGTACGGCAAGGGAAACTTGCCATATCGCCGATTTCCTGATCCCGTTTCCATGGCGACTACAGGTGATGACGCACATTCTGCTTAGCTCCGTGAGAGAGAAGGTCGATCACTGCAGAATTGTATCATTTTCAGTTGTCTTCTTGTATTCACGAAGTGAAAGAATTACTGTGTTCAATGCTGTTAGTGCCGTGAACTGTTTATTAGTAGTCCTATCCGTTGTGTACTGGGACGTGACACCGACAGGGGAAAGCTGGAGTGCGGAGACGTTAGCTGGCAAGCGAAAATCGTGACGAACCAAGTGCTGAAATCTTGGTTGGGACAAATCAAACGTTCAGCATTTACCTCAACCAAGGACCATGCCGTTTGCTCTTTCCACTTCCTGAAGATGGATGCGCTGCCTGCTGGAGACTCTCCTATCTCTCGTAACATCTTCTGAAGCCAGGTGAGACGACGAGTAGCGGAGATTAGCGAACGAAATAATGTCGTATGTTTTGAAATTTTTGCTGAACATTTCTCAGGAGAGATGGCGAATACCAAGCATCTTCTCCTAGTCTAGAGAAACCATTTCGTAGGCTACATTCCGCCTAGGGAAATGGCTGGGGAGGACACATTTGGAGGAGAACGAAGTACATGTATGTGATCTTGTTTATGTTGTTCTTTGGTATTGCAATCTTATGTTTGACGAACATACGGCATGGTGCATAGTTGGTCGTTGAGTGCCTGCATGTGCATGTATAAGTGTGTGCTGATAAACACTTCCTATGCAAGAATCTGACATTCATGCTCTCTTTCTTTCTTGCAGTATGTGCGCACGTGTGTGTGTGTGTGTGTGTGTGTGTGTGTGTGTGTGTGTGTGTGAGTGTGTGTGTGTGTGTGTGTGTGTGTGTGAGAGAGAGAGAGAGAGAGTGTGTGCAGGAGCAGCGTGGAGCATGCCAGTGTGATCGCTGTGGCGTTCTTGCCCGTCACAAGTGTGTGGCTCAGCCCCCAACGACAGTGGAGCCGTGTTGTGGTGAGTACTGTGTGTCCCGCGACCGCTGCTTCCGTTCGGTCCAGGGCAGGAATAGATACCGCTGCTGAAGCTCTCCCCGGCCATACGTCAGTCTCGTGGCAGATGACCCGAACTCTCATTTTGTGTGTGTGTGTGTGTGTGTGTGTGTGTGTGTGGTGTATTTATGTGTGTTGCTCCCTACGTAGCCGGACAAACTCTTGTTTTTGTGTCCCGGGCGCCATGGGGCGGCGTTCTCCCATTCTCTCTCCACCGCTCCTCCGGGCCCACGTGGCTGTGACTCGACAGGGCAGGGCAAGTGTGTGTATGGCGCATGGTGTGTGCTGACATGTCCGTATAAATATGTTGGACAGGAATTTGTTCACCCACAACGTTGACGGAAAACCATGCTAGGTGTTGCTGGAATGTATGGAGTCTGCGAGCACTTACAATAACTTACGTCATGTCACAACAAAGAACGGTGCAGTGTTTGATCCTCATGTGAACATGATGGTGATGGTACCTCACCTAAGCTACCCATGAAGCTAGAAAGAACATCAGGTCAACAGAATTGTACCAGAGGAAAGCATCTATTGCCCGAACTTCTTCATATGAAATGAACAATACCCTTCTCCATAGAGACAACATGCAGATGAAGTGTATGGACAAATAATATATAAATAGGCCATTCACTGAGGGCATGGAATGATCTCTACGTGTAGATTGGATAGACACATGCACGTCTGCAAGGAAAGCATTTGTTCATGGGTTAGTTCATGGGCTGATTGAGTTCACATGGACTAAGTAGTTCATATAATGCCATCTCTCCTGAGCAGCAAAATTTCAAAACATACGACATTATTTCGTTCGCTAATCTCCGCTACTCGTCGTCTCACCTGGCTTCAGAAGATGTTACGAGAGATAGGAGAGTCTCCAGCAGGCAGCGCATCCATCTTCAGGAAGTGGAAAGAGCAAACGGCATGGTCCTTGGTTGAGGTAAATGCTGAACGTTTGATTTGTCCCAACCAAGATTTCAGCACTTGGTTCGTCACGATTTTCGCTTGCCAGCTAACGTCTCCGCACTCCAGCTTTCCCCTGTCGGTGTCACGTCCCAGTACACAACGGATAGGACTACTAATAAACAGTTCACGGCACTAACAGCATTGAACACAGTACTTCTTTCACTTCGTGAATACAAGAAGACAACTGAAAATGACACAATTCTGCAGTGATCGACCTTCTCTCTCACGGAGCTAAGCAGAATGTGCGTCATCACCTGTAGTCGCCATGGAAACGGGATCAAGAAATCGGCGATATGGCAAGTTTCCCTTGCCGTACGCAAGCGAGAGATATACCATCGGAACCGATATCCAATTGTCTTTCATCTGAGCCCTACTTGAAAAATCGATGCACTTCCCCTTTAAATTTCCGCATAGATTTGAGTGGAAATATTTATGACGTCATTGGCAATACACTGTTACATGTACATGACATGTATCTACAGTTGTAATATTGACTGAGTACGAGGTCAATATAGGAAATAAAAGCCGAGTAAAAGACCGAGGCGAAGCCGAGGTCTTTTACGAGGTTTTTATTTCCTATACTGACCAAGTACGAAGTCAATATTAGATTTATCACGACAAACAGTCCGTATTTCAAATTCCAGAACGATAACCTCATGAATCCCGGTTTTATGATTGCACAACCGTTGCACCACCACCTACTCATGCAGTGACAATGCTGCACTAGGCACCGTTCAACTGCGCAACCCCAGTCAAATATAAGCAGTCAATATAGCCCTAAGGAGTGAAATATGCAGGAATATTTAACTGCTTAGGTATGGCAAAAATCTATGCGAGTCAATACTAAGGGAGTGATAATGTATAATATTATCGAAGCTTGAAGCTCCGATGCGCAATACTGGATGCCATGGAGGTTCACATTCGAAGCACCATCAAGTTCAAATTTTGAACAAGTTCAAATTTTGAACAAGTTCAAATTTTGAACTTGATGAACGGCACTCGATGCAGGTGATCTGGGAGCGGCTCAGCCCCTGCGCTGGTTCCTCTTGGGTGGGACACCGGTGACCCTGGAGCAAGTGAGGACGCAGGCTAGCACCATAGGTACTGTTTTCCAGGAGTAACATGCACAAGTATCGCCTGATCTGATACTGGTTCATGAAGGAACACACCACATCAGGCACCAGGCAGAATCTCATTGCAGGGTGGCATTGGACAACTAATCTTAGTTATGCCATGGGCCATTTTGCAGAAAAGAAAGCGGAGCATACAGGTCTTACAAACACCGGACTTCACGCCTACAAACGTGGTGACCGCTGGCTGACTGTTACTTTGACCCACGAGCTCTCCTACTCGGTTCGACGGAGCACTAGCAGTTCTCTCAACGTAAAGAATACGGCGTAAAACATGGTGTTGCAGTCACGATTGCGGCATAGATCTACGTGGGTACCGGGTGTCGGTGGAAGATCGAACAGGTGGTCAGGCACTTTGGCCAGTTTGGGCAGAACAGGTGGAGGACTCCGGGACGTAGCGCGGGACTCTCGTGGTTCGGAAACGTCCCTAGCCCTGATCCCCTTCACGGCTTCAGCGTTCGTTCGACGTCCCTCAGTGCCTCACGCTCCATATCCCGCGGTCACAGGAGCAAAGACTCCTGGCGGCCAGCTAACCGCCAAGCGCGGCAAGAGAATCGTCGACCTGCTCAGTGCTGTGTGACTTCAAGCTGAAATCGAGCAGATCGGAAGCCTAAGAATGCGCTTTCTTTCGTCAAAAGACAGCAAGGCCACAGCGGAAACACTAGGGAAGAATACGAAACGCTCCGTTCACAGAACAATCACGAACGAATGCCCCGCCGTCGGAATGGTGCCGCCGAACTCAAGTGCTGGAATCATTAAAAAATTTCACCAGGCGCTACAATTGTAGGCGGATCAAAAATAAAGAAAAAAGAAATTTGGCATCGGTGTTTTGCTGTGCATCAACCTGGATATCTTCACAAACTACTTGTAACTATTAAACTACTTGACGTATAAATTATTATCTTCGACCACGAGCCGCCAACGCAGGTTTATCCGGGTGGAACTTGGAAGTGAAGTCCAAGGTCAAGCAAGGCCAGGTACGTACTGACTCAACTGTCTGATATGAGCCTCAGGACGTCAGGTAGACCTGTCATTATGATTGACACTAGTACAGTGCGTCTGTACTGTGACTGTAGACTGGTAAACAGTATGACCAAGAGACAAGAGTACAGTCATCATGATTGTTACATATCCCCTGCCGCCCTAGCCCTAGCGCCCTGGCTATGTACTCTAGGTATGACATACACGTACATCATAATATCGACTTTCTTTTTTGAACCCCCTACTGTACCAAATTTGGTCAAGATCTGACAGAAAGTGGTTTCACTTTCAGTGGAGCAAAGGCGGCCCTTTTCTGGAAGAGAGTGTGCATCTCCACAAAACACGTGTCACATGTTCATTAGGTAATTAAGAAAAGCTTTCTTTCAACACCACGGCAGACATAATCATAATAATTATGATACAACAAATGATGATCACCCAGTTCGGACAAAGCAGAGATCAAACAAAGCAGAGATCAAACAAAGCAGAGGTCAAACAAAGGGTACTTCATGTACTTTACATCACAATGGTATAGGTGGTCTAGGTTGTAATGCTGCTCAGGGGGTTAGGTACTGTCTTATTTCCTACAGCAGGACCAGCTGCTGCACAATCAACTTTGCCGAAAAAGAGAAGAAAACACGATAAATGAAGTCCTGAAAATGCACCGCGTTGTTTTCGCGATGCGATGTGTCAAAATTATCCTACCTAGCAGAGTCATTTCAAGAAATTACACGTGTGTGCATTGCTGCACCCGTTCACGTCTCGGCTGTACAAAGGAACCAGAAATGCCAGCCGACCATGTGGACTGTAAACCGGCATTTGCGGTTAACTAAGGTTGCTAAACATTGATGACAAACACACAGCATCCAGTATTCAAGGCATGGTGTATCTACAGTTTAGAGAGAGGGTTATCGTACTCAAAGTTTCCTTCTGCACTGCTTCCTTTCTAAGCAAGCTGTACAACTAGAATTCCAAATATACATGACAGATTGAGGCCAGTAATCCAGTGAGGTGTAGACTATGGTCGCCAGCTCTTCAAATGTGTTCCTTGACATTCTTTAGGATCTTGTATGTTCCGTAGAACGGCGAGGCGGCGAGGACAAGAGCCAGAACAACGGCACCACCGCCAATGCACACAGGCACACCCACGGTTATGCCGGTAACTAGGAGAGACCCACGAATGGCCTTGCGCTTTACTGGCTGATCCGGCTTGAAGTTGTACTTGCATCCCAAGACGCTGTATCGAGAGTAATGGCTACCGAGAAAGACAACATCGCGCTGTTGGCTTCCACATCGGTAGCAGAAGGAGGTGTGGCACTTGGAGCAAGTCATATTATTACAACCACTAGAGCGCTGGATAGGGATCTTACACTTGGGACAGCGCTGAGCGTTGGGAGTGTCGCGGCTAACGCGCGTCTTGAGCCAGGCCCGGAAGTCTTTTGAGCCCGACTTGCGTGCTTCTTTGCATGTGGACTTCGGATGCCATGGAGCTTCGCATTCAAAGCACCAGTCAAACGAGCAATCCGTGCAGGTGACGTGGGAGCCTTTGCGTCGGTGTCTCTTCTCCGGAGCGTGAGTTATCGTGGAGCAGTTTGGACACAGGTGAACAGTACCGCTCGTGTCTTTAATGGTGAGCAGGCGTTCGAACCGATCAATACCGTTAGGATCAATGTAGGCACGAACCGTATCCGCGGGCAGGATGTCTGTGCAGCCCTCTGCCGGGCATTCAGCCTTCACAATGCCATCGGCCACCTTGCCTCGCACATAGCCACGCATACATGCCCTGCAAAGATACTGGTGCGAACAAAAGTAATCACCTCCCACCGCCTCAAGGTCGTCCATCGGTGATACTGATTCGTAACACACCGAACATGCTAGTGGAGACATAATCGAGAGTGGTAGTTCATTCATTCCATAAATGTCGTCCTCGTCTTCTGGGTGTAAAACAGAAGGGTTGGAAAGGTAAAGGTCGTCCTCGTCGAGTCCTGCGCCTCGGTGGAAAGAAACGGTTGACAATACTCGTAGTTTACACTTAGGTTGAACAGGCCCAGCGTCACTCTGGATCTTACGGCACCATTCCGGTAGCGGCGGCGCTGGTGGTATCGTCGGGGCAAACGACCCCACGTTAGGCATAGAATGCGAGCGAGCCGACGCGGTGAGCGGCTTCATATCGCGAACGGCACTGCTCTCCTGTGTGCTCCAGATACAATCTAAGCTGGACTTGCGTCCTGCTACCATCCTTTTCTCCATTATCGTCACCAATGTTGAATTATTTTCAGCTCAAGAACTACAGTCACAGGCGGAAGAAACTAATGTTGCTTTGAAGTAAAGAGTGCAAACAAAGAAAGAGGTAAGCTGCCCAGAGTTCGATCTATCTCTTATCTGTGTGCTGCTGTCAGCTCAGCCTCAAGTCGAGCGCTGCAAGTACAGTATTTCTATCCTCCCCGTATCACTGTAAGTTGAAAACTGATGCAGCATCCGCAACGAAGCCATTTATACCTATCGCGGGGCCATCGTCATCGCGGCAGCGCAGCGGCTCTTGTCTGTTTAGTGCATGCATTTCTATGCTAGCGGCAGTGCTTAGCGCTAGCCCTGGACTGTTTGCCAAGTAAGTTTTGTGCCATTGATTTGTGGCTACGTAATCGCTAGTCGAAGGCCACTCTGCAATATGCAATAAGTCTGCATGGCTCGATATCTACGTACCGTCACCTGGTCACGTCATAGCTGCCACCCGTAGCTAGCTCTATGAAGTATGATGTCTATCTACCCCGGCTCGCGGCTGCCACCACACTGTCCACAGGTACAGAAATCAGTCAAGCTGTCAAATGGTGCAACATGTCTACACACTGATAATAATAATAATGACAGGACACAACAGCAAAGGAGCACCAAGAGTGCCCTAGCTAGGCGGATATCGGGATAATGCACCAAGAGTCCGACAATACGGAGTGTGTGCTAACGGTTTGGTTGCCGGTGAACTTGTCGCGTGGCCTCAATTCAGCACGCAGTACTCTACACTAACCAGTCATCTAATCGATGCTTCAAGCGGTTCTCTCAGTCTCACTCTCAGGTCAGGACTTCTTTACTCGCCTCTACGATTATGAATAGTTTCTGTGACGCTAACTCTTTGGCAGTTTCGCTGAGCACAACTGCGTTCTGGTGACAATGCCATGTAGTGTACATAATGCGGGTTCGTTGAACATCATTCAAGTGAAGACATGTGTGCGCATACATGATTGTACTCATTATCTAACGGTAATGGGGCGGTATGTCTTCGACTACTCGTACCAAGCATCAGCACCGCCACTTTCAGTTGTACAATCATGCAATGGGGCCCTTGATGGTCGTACTCTGTCCCCAGCAGGTACAGACTCTGTAGACGTCATTGTCAATGGCGGAGATCGAGAGCGTCCTTTCGCACTGGCATGATGTAGTCTTTCATAATCATAGGGGGGTGGTGATATCATGATGTACGAGTTGAGTGCTCACCAAGTGACACTACACTCGTAGATCTACTCGCGCTCTCTCTTCATTTCTCGTCCAGCATCGGCTGCCCGCATGGCCCGGCCAGCACAGACTCAGTACTGCGAGTGGCGTGCTTGCTCGATCTTTGCAAAATAAATAATAATAATAATTATTATTATTATATTATGCAAGAACAAGACGACGTCGACACGTACTGTACCTAGCTAGTACCTGTCAATGTAGATGTAGGCACTAGTACCGGGGAAGTCCCTTACCTGTCGTCTACAGGCCAAGTCCTGGCCACACAGACTCAGTCGACTCGGACTAGTGAGTAGTAGATCTACGGTAAGTATCCCATCGACCAGTCATGTAGATCTACAATCATACGTAGATCTACATGTATACCGGAATTATGCAATCGTGGCACATTTTCGTTGGCATTACCTCATTCCCTGTTTCCAGACTTGGGTGGCACTGACACTGACGTGACAGGCTGTCACTGCCGAGCTGCAGTCATGTACAATACATGAAACGACGTGCGGTAGCTGGTGCGATACCGTACCGCTATGCCGCATACCGGTATGCGCTGCCACTCAAGACGAAAACAGAAACAAGAGAACTTACTTAGAGAAGCAGCTAGCCAGCGGAACTACGCAAGGCTAGGGTAGATCTACTCAGTAGTAGGGAGCTCCGTACCGGAGCCTGGGCGTCAGGGCGATCGTGTCTTTGACCTCACCCGTGAGGGTAGTCATAATGATCCTATGCATGGCATGTGATCAGCCAGTTTGCTGAGCGAATGAGTTCAAGACACCAACTCAACTGTGTAGGTGCACGGGCGAAGCCGCTGAAGTTAGCATTTTCTACACTTGTTTACAGGGTAATGTTGTTTGGCATTCTGCCCGACCACCCACTGACCCAGTCAGGAGATGGAGAGACAGGTTGACACAGGGCTAGCTAGGGAGAAGCCAGGAGAGATCCTCTCGAGGTTACCACCAATCGCCGAACAGTTTTCGCTGCACTGACGTAAGCGACTGTACAATACACAAAATCTATACAATCATTCTGAACCATTCAATGATTATGTTGAATAATTACAATGTGGTCATCAGATATGTACATACATGCAGTCACGTGGACCAATGAGAGGACGTACAATGTAGGTCGGGGATGGGGTGAATGTACATAATTGTACAGTCGTGGTCAAAGACATCCGACCTGCTAGTCAAACGTAGTGCCGCGTTTCGTAGTGCCGCGTTTCCATTTCATGTATGTGTATGTTCCCAAAACTGATCCAAGGGCTGCAGGGGCCGCATGAGCCTTAGCGCTGCTTTCGGCACACGGGTTGGATTTCTTTGGCCACAACTCTACATGTATATCACCGAATTGTACCCAAAAGAGGGTTTGGATACGACTCTCTGATGTACAAGTACATTGTACACACACATGCAGGGTTCTAGCCGGGGGGGGGGGGGGTTGGAGGGGGGTTGGAGGCGCAGCGCCCCATTACTCTGAGTGTCCTCCTGTGAAAAAGTGGTGCCCCCTACTCATTTGCCGATTTCTTTTTTTCATGCCATTCAATGAAAATGCAGTCAATAGTCAGTACAGGGAGTTTATAAGGCAGGGCCCGGATCCCCCCGTATGTTGCATTTTGCATGGAAAGACAACTTTGGAAAATGGAAGATGGGTTATGGGGTAACTGACGCAGAGTAACTTTAGCGAAACGCTCCTTTCGCTAAAATCTCTAAATTTTACCGTCGCTAAATTAGCCGTTTACGGTAGGTGAATAAGCACTCATACAGACCTACATGAACACTGTACGAAACCCAGTCTCAGCCTGGTCAGTGTATCCATGGCTAATCTCTTTCAACCAGGTCCACATACACCCTCTCAACCAGGTCACTGACCCTGCTGACCTGGCTCTGGAGTGGAGCAGCCACTGCACTGGTATGCACCAAGAGTACGCTGCTTCATGACTCTTGTATGCATGAAAGGTGATCCTCACTGTTGCTTGCCAGTGTAATTTTCCGAATTATGTCCAGCCGACACCAAATTCACGCTGCTAATAATTTGGTTGCTAGGTATGCATTCCGTGGAAAATAGCGCAAGCGTTAAAATAAATATTTTTAAGATTCGGATGTTGAGCCAATCGTAGTATGTAAACAGAACGGACCCGACATGAAGGCAACTGTTAGTCATAGCTAGTAACGTATACATAATTGTGTAAGTTACTAGCTATGACTAACAGTTGTCTTGTTCTCGCACTATCTGACTGTATATGTTACGTTGGTGGACTGCTAGTCATAACTAGTAACTTATAGGTCCTTTTCTCTTTACATCATTGTATTTTTAGGATTGCTAGCCATGCCTGTGGTATTCCATGGTGTACATAATGCTTGCCGTGAACTACAGGTTTGCGGCGAACAAGTGCGAGCTCCTGTGTGGGGAGCAAACACCTTTCCTATTACAAAAAAAGTCGCGAGTATCCCTTTGTACGGTGGTGGTATTTCTGATTCCTATGGAGGCGAGAAATTTACTTCACGTACACTTTGATTATGATGGAGTCGCACACAACTGTAAAGTTCATAGTGAAACTGTGCACGGTACGTGCCGCTGTGTTGACTGGTGGGGTGAAGGCAACTTTTGCAACGACGTGTGCTGGAATACGATGCTGCCCACTGTAGCTTCAGCCAGCTGGAAAGAAGCCAGGAGATCCAGAACCACACAGCAATATTGTCACTGTCACGGATCTGTCAAAATGGTTCTACATTGAATGATCAACTGAGTCATGAGGCAAGCTAGCCATCATCTCTAGCACTCACTGGGACACAAGTTAGTAAGTAGAATTTCGATGACGTCTGCATGTTGTGCGTGTAGCCTGTACTCGCTGTAGGTGCGAACACACGTACACCCTTACCTGTGCCAAAGCTTGACAGGTTCCCGCCAATAGACAGTGTACCCAAACTGACCAAATGCGCCAGGATTACTCATTGACAAAATATTAATGCTACATGTAGTAGTATACTGTATAGTGAATACAATCATGCACTGCTGTAGAGACTACAACTGTACAAGTCTATGTTGACACTTGACAGTGCTAGTGTTGCTGTCACAGCTCAGCACTTATCCCAGCAAGCACGCATATTGCATTATTGGTACTGTAGTATGGGAGATCGAGAGTACACTCAGGTTTCAAGTAGCATCTCAAGTAGCATTAGTTCTTATTACAACAGGGCATGCTGTATGACATCATTCATGAAGCTGTCCACATGCATGTCACACTGATTATCCTGAGCACTGTGACTGTGAGTGTGAGCAGCAGTGCGTATTTAGACAGGCGACCAATGAATCATGTGCTTTAGACTTTAGTATAGTATTGGGCCAAATATACTCTCACTACTCTCTTCCAATCCATGTGTAAAAAGCTCTGCGCTTTAAATTATTGAGCACTCTTCAAGCAGTTTTACCAAACCTTTTCTATGTAATCTACAGCGTCACAATGTATAGGATATTATAGAGGAGCTAAGCTAGGCTAAGCCTATGGAGTATGGGTAGAGGAGGCAGGGATGGCCAAGTCCAGCTCAAAGCACCCGAGCTGCATATACAGTAGGTGGCGTAGAGAGCAAAAAAAAGAAGAAAGAAGGATAGCTGAAGTAGAAGCATATCCCTGTCCGTCCAAACCCATGCTAGTAGTAGTAGTGATCGCATAATTACTTGTTGTACTGGTATTGCCTACTATTGGGTGAGCCAGGCTGGCATGTACATGCACATGATTGTACATGTATGAGTACTACCATCCATTGTACTGTAATTTGTAGTGCCCAGGTAGGGAATGAGTTTCTCAATGACAGCTACTTGACATACTCTAATTCGGTGCTCAATATTTTCGTTATGAGGACAAAATGCCTGGTTAGGTGAACAGAAATTTTCGGTACAGAGAAGCAGTTCCCTATTGAATTATGTGTGTTAGTGTTTGTTCGGTGTATTGAAACTGTAGGTATAAAACAGATGCACCGAAAGTACCGAAAATAAAACTGAGTACACCGAAAATTTGTGAAATTACAGTATTTGGTCATGATGAACCACTACAGGTCAAACTAATGTTGGTCAGGGTGTCAAGCAGGGATGAAGTAGGCGCATTGAGGCTACACTGTAAACATTTCACAGAGCCATGATTGCATGAATGAATCAATGATTGATAGACTAGTATGAACACACTCATGAGTGACATCAGCCACCTTACAGGGACCATTACCACATGCATGTACATAATATTATGCATGAATCTCATGGTCCTTCAACTGGCGCTAGCAAAGGAAAGAGCAGGGGAATAAAATCTCTCACACCCTAGTTACTACACTGTACTTCCGGGTTTACTATGCTGCATTACAGATGGAGTGTTTTGCAGAGTGCAAGTGGCCACAACTTGTTGCACAAGTGACTCACAAGGATACATATCCTGTTACTAACGTTATAGCTAAAGTCATGTATTATGAATGACTTCTGCCATTGACTGAACAATGAGAAGTCAACCAGTCCTGCTACTATTGTACTGTACTACTATTGCCTGCACTACACACTGCACTGACGAGCACACAGCACTTCACAGCTCCCACAAAAATAACAGCCTTGCACTTAATTATTTTCAAGGAAACTCCCTGCACCAAACACCCAAATACGGCCAAGTATGCTCACACCCAGACAGCCTAAGTTGAATAGTAAGTTAGTAATAGAGTAGTGCGCTGATATCCACCACTGTACACTTCACCCTGCATCATGGCCAGGTGACAACTGGTCTGTAGAAACTGCCCCAGCAGACCAACGGCAGTTCTTGTACATCATCAGTACATCCGTGGACAATCCAAATAGAGCACAGCATCATTCATGGGATATTTAAAAGGTGTTCCACATCTGTATTGGCAGCAGCAGGAAAAGTCCCTGCACACATACTTTCTAACACTGTATTTCAAGCAGGAGCAGCAGCGGTTAGTCACTAGTATCCGGTGTATTTTGATTACCGGTGTGTAGATAAGTACAAAACATGACAGACTGCACAACCACAACTTCTCCAGGAAGCTGTGCAAATCACTACATTTAGCTGTGGCTACTGAAATCCGGAAACAGTACATGTATGCAGGCACAGCACTGATCGTAAATAAACTTCAGATCTACAAAAAGCATGAGAGTGCAGAGGTTGTGCCAACGTCTCCTTTATCCATAGTATTCCAGAACACACATATATGACACAATGTGTCATAGAGTACAGAGCAGATGGTGACAGATCAATACACCCGATGTTAAAAAAAAGTCTAAGGTAAATGTACAGCTGGTGCCAGGTGGTGCAACATGTGCACATGTACACAGCGTAGACAAGGACACATACACATACACTTATGTACACGTAAGAGAACATACATGACTGTCGCTAACTCAGTACTGTTGGAACAGATGATACCATCAGGTGCCGTCAGTCACATAAACGAAGAGTGCATAGGCTACTATGAAGAGTACTACATTATGTACTTTGCCACTATTGAACTGGTAAGAAAGCCTTGTTTATTACCGGTAATGCGGTATACACATACATGTAGTCTATTTCGTGACACTAGTCTATGATGAGCTACAAGTTCATCTTTTACTTAAACTCTGAAACTCTGAACGCTAAATTATTATTTTTTAAATGCGATTAACAAAACGAGCTGAACCGACATTTCACAAAGGCTTCATTCAAAACGAGTGGATATGAAGGCGGCAGGAAGGCTTGGGGGGGGGGGGGGGGGGAGGCTAAATTATTTCATCGTGAATTGGTCCGGATTCACAAAACGCTAACATTTTTACCCGCTAAAATTAGCCGTTCTACAGTATTCCCAGATGCATGGCAATAAGGGCCAATAATCTGACAGCACGGCGTATGCTGATAAGAATGCTTGGAAATTTAATACGGAAGTGTGCTGGAAGCTGCAGTGGTGACAAGCACAGCAGGAAAGGTGTGATCGATCAGGACATGACGGTGTGATAGATATGTTAACCAGTTACAGGACCTACATGTATAAGAGAGTACTGTACAGACACTTCTACGATCCTGTAAATGAAGAATATTTCGTACGCTCTTTTTACAAGTTTACAAGCCGGGATTGGAATTTGCAGTGTACCTCCGAACACAAACTCATTTTTTCTCTAAACTCCCAGTGCAACACACTCTGCACAAAACAGGCATCAAATCCCCACCACCAATACCTTGATTATCAGATGGAAGGAACCAGAGACTGTCAGGATTAGGGCTAAAACAAGTCTACTCACAATAAGTCATGCACATTTACCAAGTGATGAAACGAACCGCAATTATTTCCACGTTTACGCGTGAATCCCACCAAACGAGTGAATACAAGCTATGCACTTCGACAAATTCATTTTTGCATCGTCATTGTCCAAGGTATCATGGCTCTCCTTGCCAATGCTCCAATACTGTAGGTACAGGTGGGATTACCCTCACAGCAGCACTTGCACTGACATGTGTCATTTTCACAATCCAGGTACGTCTTAGTAGGTTCAGCCACCAGGTACTAGGTGATAACTTATAAGAGTCTAACCCAACACTGTTCAGCTGCCATTCGTGAATATAGCCAGTCTGAATGAATCCCGGGTGGTACACTACAGCCAGGGATTATGCGGTCTGAACTTGCACACATTTAGTCCATCTAACTAGCAAGATTTATATATCGCTTGAACATTCATTGTAGACGTGCTATCATGGGCTATTCTCCTAAATGCACTACAGTGTATTGTGCTATCCATGCCCAGCACGGTATGCACGAGATAGGGAAAAACCAGAAAAGGAAAGCCAGGGAGAAAAACAGAATGGAGCCAGCCACTATCCTAGTTCTGCTTGCAGAAAACAAACAATCAAAGCATGTTCTAATTGCTCTTGTACTGCAGCAGTATCTGAGAGCAGGCACATGCACTCGTGCGTGTGTGATATCACAAAGCCATTTCGGGAGGGCAGCATAAATAATACAGAGAAATATACATACCGGTTGAGTAGTCAATAACATGGGCCGCATTGGGATATTTCATGAAATGCGAATAAAGTCAAAGGCACAACAAGCCAGCACAGTGCAGTGAGCACGGTGGAAATACATGTAGTCTGAATGTCCTAACACATTCTGTATTCGGCATGTGCACACAGCCACAGTAGGACACGAGCGGGGTCCACTCCAGCAATAAGGATGACAGGCAGGCCACCGGCCATGCCTGTGACGAGGCACAGGTCCATACATGAACAGAGCAGCAGAGCACATCAGCACCAACATAGCTTTGATGTACTATTATACTGCACCTAAGTAACATAACACCCACCGTTGTTATTTAACTAAGGGTCTTACTGTCTCAGAGTCATCCGCACAGGTCTGGTCTTTATACCGTTTAACTTCAGCCATGTACGCCTTCCACGGTTCTGACTTGCCACTATGCGCCTGGGGGGCAAAATCACACAGCTGAACAGGATGAGATGCCACAACATTTGACGAAGAACTGATCACAATGCTACTGTACCATCACACAAACTACTATTCACTCTGCCATAGTGCGGGGAATAAAGAAGCAAATCCTCAGACACCTCTTCGGACAATTTCAACAGAGGTTTAAGAAAAGTTTTATCCAAAGCCCTTTTTATTCCATGGCAGAATGTTCAGTTACAAACACACCAATCTCTAACACCCACAGTGGGTGCACTTTCACCTGAGTTTCTCAAATCAGGAAAACAACCCACATCCAATTGTACAGAAAGCTGGGTAGCATAATACCACAAAACCAGACCTGCATACAGCGACCAAAACTAGCCAAAAGTGCTATTCTGGCTGGCAGGCTTCACTGCAACAGGATTGAAGTGCGCTCAGAAGCAAATGCATGCAGTCAACAGAAGTGACAGTGTAGAGTGCGCTGCATGCACTTGAGTGAGGTGTAAACTCATGGGTGCTTTGCCTATTAAAGTATTCTATGCTCCACATCTGTCAATATGAGTACAGTCATGGAAGTACAAGTGTGTGTGTGTACTGTACACAATCCAATATGCCGCGAATGTATGGGACCTGGTTCAAAACACCACGTGGCTTTAACGACCACTTCTGCTTGCACCGTGAGGTGGTCGCTTAAACCAGGTTTTACTGTACAGCAACTCCTCTCACTTCGAAATAAGCGCTCGAAGGGCATTGCACTGTACTGTGAACTGCCCTTCCCTACGATGACAAAGTTCGAATTATCCAGAAGGCGCACCTTCTGAACTTTGAATTACACATTCGAATTTGACTTGAAGTCACTTGCAGAAGATTAGTACGACGAAAAGTTTCGAACTATACAGAATATTCGATGTAGAGGGAGTCTGCCTTTAGCTGCAAAACTAGAAGGCTTCAGAAGGCTTCCTCGTTTTCATAGAATACGCGGTGTTTCAAAATCTATTAAAAACCGACGAAATGTGTACTGTAAAGCGACAAACTTTCGCGGCACGCAAATTTAGTGTTTTCATAAATTGGGCTGGTTCACGATGAGAAACTTTTGCGATTCTATCTCTTCAGTCGGATCTTGTACTGTCTACAATCAATGTACGGAGAGGTTTGCGGCGATTTATATTTGTGAATGCGTGATGGTCGCGAAAATAGCGAAATTTTATCTCCAGCGAAAGTTTCTCACTTTACAGTAGCTTCTCAGTCTGCTCGGGTACAATAATTAAATCATTTAAATGCATGCGTACACACAACAGGTGTAAAAATTTGTAGGACGAAAAGGGTGCTACCAAGAGTACATAAACCAGAGTGTGCAGCTCAGCGCATCTATGTTGCGCAAAACCGATCCCACGGTGACGTCTTTCGTTTAGGTCATTATGAATCATAGAAAACCTGTCACGCCGCCGTAGGTTCAGTGCTAAGGTGATTCGTGTGTGTTTTTCACCTTTTGTACGACAAGCGACAATGCACTACAGAAATTACGCGGGTGGTGCGGTAAAAGTGACCATGTGAACCAGTGCGAGATGCAACAGTGGTGAGTCATTATGACCTAAACAAAAAACTTTCGCCGTGGGATGACTCACCCGGAGCTGCACACTCTTGCTGTACTGGTAATGCTACTCTGTTAAAAAAAATACCGGTATGCACAGCACCCATTTGTCCAGAAAATGTGTACATCGCAATGACACTGTGTATGCGATCTATAGAGGTCAATCTCAGGTCATGCAAATGACGTCATCGCATGACATCGTATATGCTTTGTATGAAATAGCACACGAGTGCTCGCGATGCCACTCCAAACTAAACACCTCAAATGACCATGTAATTACACGGCCTCTACAACTGCCCACACCCGGCAGGTAAATAGAAAGTCCACACGGAGAGGTTCTGCACTGATAGTGCTGGCAACTGAAATCCGACCCCTGGAGCGGTGCGCGCTCACATTTGCAAGAATCCAGCACGGGATTGTAACACTACGAAATAGAGCACTAGAATCGGTGCTGCACTTGAGCACGAAAACCAGAGGTCGGATTTCAGTTGCCAGCACTGTAGAATTTCAAATTATTAATTTCCTACTGTCGCGAGTTTGGAGATTCCGAATTTCAGCTCAGAATCTGTTTTGCAATCCGATAAGCTCTTTCGACTTCTCACGACCTGCGCGAGCGCCTACTACGTGGTTACTACGGGCAACTAAATTGCATGCGCAGACAACTGTTCAAAAAATCAAACAAGAAACTGAAAATAAATTTCAACTCGACTGCTTCTTTCCGTTCAACATTCCCAAAATTAAAAAGTCCGACTGCTCCGCAGATTCTTGAACCCAGTAGCGGGAAAAAAACTGAAATTCAGGATGCAGAACCTCTCTTTGAGAAAGAGTTGAGCTTGTAAGTGCCCACTAAAACAAACAGCAGTACATCCGTGAAGATGCATGCTTGGTCTAGACTCAGTTGTGCCCAATGACATTCTGAGACCATAGAATGCAGTACATGCACTATGCTGCAATTACTGCCAATTAGTTCATGTAATTGTACATGTACTCCAACTTAGTCCAAGTCTATGGGACACTGGTATCGCAATTCTCTCCAGAATTCATTGGCCACATCTGCCTGGTTTCGATACAAACACACATGTGCGTGCATGCAGGTGCACATATGTACACGGGCACACCCCACATGTGTGTGTGTGTGTGCGTGTGCGTGTGTGTGTGCGTGTGCGTGTGTGTGCGCACTTTGGCGCACACACACGCACATAATATGCATGCTTGTATACATTATGTACACACACGCACACGCATACACACGCACATACAAGCACGCGCGCATACACACACACGCGCGCGCACACACACACACACACACACACGTGCGTGCACACACAACCACCCGTGCCGCGCACAAAACACATAAGAAAAAGAGCACCTCATCTTCTTTCTTCTTCTTGGGTTTGGGCTGGCTCTTCATCAAGGCTTTCCGTTTCCCCTGCAAGTACCGATCAAACACACTTACGACTAAGTCCAGTTATTCTGTTTTCATATTGGATAAATATTGGGCAAGAGGGTGAAGCTAACACATCAGTCGCTTACACAGAATTGGCCAAACTTCACAGCAGGTTTCGAAGTCGGCTTCATCGAGCTACTTTCTTCTCGACACTGCTCGGCTCTGCTCCCGTCATTTTCTTCTGTTTCATGATCACTTCTTGAACTAGAAGTAGGAGTCTTTGCAGGAGAAAATTCTGTTTCGCGTTTCTTGAAATGCTCAAGAAATGACCCATCATTCGAGAAAGAGTTAGTGGCGCTGGAACAGTCTCGCTCTTTCAACGACCCACGGTCGCATTTACTTGGGGGCGGCGGCATGCTTTATACATTTAAACTGTTACTTCGCGAATTCGACAGGGAGCTTTTACAAAGAAAGAAATTGGTTTTTCCCATATACCCTCCCATACAACGCAAAGTCTATTTCTCTGCTGGTTTAGTTTTTTAATGACGTCATCATGATGTCACCAAATAATTTGGTGACAATTATTAATTTTCAAGCAGCAGGTATATCAGGTATAATTATTTATATAACCATGATAACTCGGGAACGGCTGGTCCGATCAACCTGGGACTTTCACCACTGGAATCGGTGCATTTTTCACTACCGGTTGTGAAGTTTTCATTCCGGGGTGAACTTCCCCTTTCCCTCAAAGTCAAATCAAGTTGTTCAGTTATTTTTTCAGGAAGTTGAAAATTGTCAATTGGATGCGGCGCTACAATTGCAGTTTCTACAGACATGGAGATGCTGATGGACAAGAAGGTGATCGGAGCAGTCATCAAGTACTAGTACCGTTTCTTGAAGAAGAAACCTCAATGCAGGTATAGTGGAGACCCTGGCAGATAAAACCGTACACTGTCATAATTATTCAACTTGGCTTGCGGTGAAGCACTGAGTGGTGTTGAGACTTCAGGCTGGACGGGGAAAGTCTGCACAGACGACTCTATGCTGAACGGTCAGGGAGACCATGATGAGCAACAGACGAAGAAAGTATCCGACAAAGTCACGGCGGCTTCAAATCATCGGATGATGAAGGACGGCGTACAACAATAACACTGAGATTCATCTCTGAGCAACTGAAGATCACTGAGCTTTGGATCAGTAGCCTGGATTATAGAGAAGCTGGGCTCGAACAACGTTTCTTGCTGTTGGATTCCGAGAATGGCAAATGCTCACAGCAGAGCAGAAGCATCGTCGTGTGGATCGCTACACAGAGCGCAGTAGTTTCAGGAGTCTCCAGCTCCTGCAGCAGTTTCAGGAGTCTCCTGATAGTTTTGAACTTTTCTTGGGTGACTGGTGTCTCAGGATGAAACATGGGTCCACCCCTTCGATTCTAAAACGACACATCAAAGCACGCAGTGGGAACCGTTGCGAGCTCACCAACTCCGAAAAGTTCAAAGCTCGACCACCTGCCGGAAAGATGATGGCGACCGTGTTTGGGGACTGCTGTGGTGTTGTCATGCTGGCCGCGATTTCTTCGGAGCCTGGCAGGACAATCGATGGGCAGTATCCGGCATGCTGAAAAGTTGAAAAAGCTCCAGGATGAACTGGCGGCCAGGCACTGTGGGAAGCTGTCGAAGGGCACTCTGCTTTTGCAAGACAATGCACCAGCCCACGCGACCCAAATTACTGTGGCTGTACTCGGCGAGAACATGTGGCTTCCAACTCCCGAGTTTCCCGTCCTCCCTACTCACCTCATCAGGCCGCGGGCTCCTCAGATTTCTTTCTCTTCCCTTCCATAAAATTATCACCATGGGGCGACATTTTGGCTCAACATTAATTTTGATGATGACATCATAGCAGCTGTTGACGACATTCTGGACAAACAAGATGAGAATTTCTACAGATGTGGATTGAATGAGACTGGAGCATCGCTGAGGGAAGTGCATTCATGACAAGGGTGACTATATTGAAAGATAAAACGAAGAGAATGGTGATAATTGTAACATGGAAAAATGTGGGCACAAGTTAGTTATGCGATCGAGTGACAGTTCACCAACTACTTGTAAACCAGATTTGAACCAGATTTGATCTGAGAATGATGATACCGCTGTTTTTTTTGTGGGTCGGGCTGGAAACTTCCTGAATGGCCCTCGTAGTGATAATTATGTTCTCCGTCCATAATCTCTCGTCAGTGTTGACTTTGACTGAGGTTCAGTGAGAAGCCCGAGCTGTTGTTTTTGAGTTAGAGTACCAAGCAGGGAGTACTAACAGGGGCGTAGCACCCGCTACGACTGGTACGACCATGGCCATACCACTTTTCGAAAAGTGTGGTCCGTCCGGAACGTGCAAAACCGTAATAAAAAAATCAGGACCCATCGATGCATACTAGTATGCGCATCAGACTTTGACCTTTTTCTAGACTCGTGCTCGTAGATCTGCCATGCATCTGCAGTCGTACTGAGTACTGTACTCGACTCGACTGCACAGTCCCAGAACGCAGGATTTTGTGTCTTTGAAAAAAATTCCCGGGGGAGGTCCCCCTCCAACACGGCCTTTGGCCGCGCCGACCTTTGGTCGTACCACTTCCCAAACCCCTCCTACGCCCCTGACTAAGCCTATAAAACCTTAGTATTCCCTGACTGGTACATGTACCAAGACTACAGTAAAGGTAACCTTAAGACGGTTATTTTTAACCATAACGCTGGTAGACTCGAGTGATAATTGAGTTCGTGTCTGAAAGTCATCTCTTCGTCTTCGCCGAGGAGTATCCGATGGTGTCTGCAGGAGGAGAGCTAGCTACAGCGTTGCGTTTGTGCGGTGCGTGACGCCACGAGGCTCGGACACACTGTAAACGGTGAGAGCCATATCCGTTTTGCCCAGCAGGCCAGGGAGTCGTCAAGAAGACAAGATGATTGTGTACTCCTATAACTACAAGGCAGTATCCGGACTCCTAAAAGTAAAACTAAAAGTCCATTGCCTTGGTGCTGCCATGGGTCTTTACTTTAGTAGCACTTTAACTTTGCGTGCATGCTCAGCATTACAGTTATAGAATAATTGTTATTATCGCACGTCCAATCACTGAATCAGGCATCACAGTCATGTCACAGAGCGCCGGGCCTGTGTCGTCAGCCACTTTACCTCTCGACTCAAGTAACTGTTGAAGTTTATTTACCACCTTTCACACTAGAAAACCAAAAATTCCGAAACTGCACTGCGGTGCTCCGTCAAAATGTCCGGCGCACTCACGCGCATCACCATGCACTAGTGCGGCAGTACCTAGCTACGACTGCCCAGCATGCATGCTCCAATCAAAGCAGCATTGTATTACTACTACTGACTATTGCACAGCCTTCTCTCACACTCAAGCATTTCCTTCTTTCCCAGTTTTCGCCTTTGTGGCGGCGACAGTCCTTTGGCTCTCATGGCACGAATGCTCATGCTTATCGTGGTGATATGAGCCTGTTTCTCATAATATGATTTGATTATTCGATCAGTAATTATTTGAATTCCACCAACTCATATACAATGCCACTTCTTCATCGTGAACCGTTTGTGCCTTCTCAGCCACCAGCTGATCTCGATCCTGACGAGGAAGTCTTTGTTTGTCAATTCACCAAGGAGGCATTCCGAGATTACGAGTAAGTGTATGTGTGTGAGTCAGTTTCCTTGTCGTAGGGTGGCAATCTCCACCTCCATTTCATCTTTACCAGGACAGTTTGTGGATATTTTCAATTTCATTTTCATTCATTTGTCTAAATTTTTCAGATCGTTCTTCGACCGTACAGTTCTTTGCAACAGCCTTGTGTGGACCTGCGAGTACACTGGTCGTACCGGCTTGACTTATCAAGAAGCTGTGGAACGAGAGGAACGATGTATTCAGAAGCTGAGTGCATTTCCAGCTGCCCTGCATTTTCCAGTTCTTCTGTTTGCAAATCGGCTTTATCACACCAGCATCTCGTCGTTGGCTCAAGCAACTATAGCATACTTCCGCGATCATTTCATGGATCATGAGGTTGTTGCAGTGGAATGTCATGATAACAGGTGAATTTCTAATTAGGATATTTTACTAGTTCATGAGAAATAATATGAATTACATGTGCCAGCATTTACTGTGTGCGAAAAAATGGTGTCAGCGGCCATTTTGAAAATCCAGCCTACTGTACTTGTATCACAACTGTAGAAAAATCCGATATCAGAGAGGTTCCGCACTACGTAATTATGTTAGTAAAAACCGTAGTCGATGTACGGAAAGTCTTACATATACTGCATGGTGATCCGTGTTCCGCCATGCGGAATTTTTGAACCACGTAGCTGCCCATGGCAACTCCGGACGCGAAAGTGTACGATCCACAGAGAGAGTCATATAAATTTATCCCCCAATCCAAGCCCCACGTACGTACTTTGCGTAGACAACTTTCCGTAAGTGGAGTGCAAACTCCCGAATTCACGGGTTTTAACATTTTTTCCACCCCGTGTGTAAAGTTGCTCAGCTTTACGTGAAGTTGCTCAACTTTACGTAGTGCGGAACCTCTCTATTAGGGAGGTTTCGCTGTACGTAATTACAGTCAACTTCGCTTATAACGACACTCGGCGGGGCATCAGAAAAGTGTCCTAATTCGCGAAGTGTCGTTATACCCGAAGTCTCATTATATGTGTCACAGTTGGATGGGACTTTGCTCTGGGCATGAAAATTATGTCGTTATTCGCGAATTGTCGTTATATCCGCAGTCGTTATTAGCGAAGTTGACTGTACGTAAGAAATATGCGCAGCTTGAGCGTTGACATTACATGGATAAATCTGGGAAGTGCGAAAATTATTTCAATAAGTCCTATGGAGGACCGGACCTACAATTGTAGGAAAGAGCTTTTTAGAAATCCTTAGAGAAATTTACGTACCGTATGTCAGCGCCTTTAAGCCATGGCCTTATATTCGAAACATTGCTTCTTTCCTAGCTATTTTAGATGCAAAATGACTCACCCACTACGCCATGCCATAAAAGTCAAAGTCCACACAGAAATTTCAATCTAAATCTACTTATTCACCCTTCCTGCTGGGCTGTAAGTTTGTTAGCATCGTACTTATTCCTTCATTTTTGCAAAACATACTTCAAATGTCATTTCATTTATGAAGCCCATTGCTTTTTAACTGAGACTGGCTTTATAATCGAATATATCACCATGGCTTTAAATGTGCGGACATACGGTATGAAAATTGACCTCGCTCCCCGGCGCGTACGACATTGATATGGATCAGGTGAATTGAAACATTCATATAAATTACAGTGTATTTTCAATTTTTTTGGAAATTTTCTGGGATTTTAACAGTGCCCACGTGTAAGTCAAATCATCATTGACCTACGGTGATGTATGTCGTGCTTGATCATTGTTTCAACTTACACCTTTTTGGTAGCTATCATTAACAAAATTCTCTCGCTGTCATAGTACTTTGGCCTTCAGGATTTGGCAGGACGAATTGTAGTTGGATGTCTTTTGTTTAGGGATTCAGTCGAAGGTAAACATATTGACACAAGTAGAGACGAAGCCAGTTGTGAGCCTGATTAGGCCTGTCGTACCATTACTTCTCAAATCAGTACATGATGATAATGTGACAAAGCACAACGTCAATGCATACAGATTACTTCTATAACTATAACAAGGAGGTGGGAAATCGAAATAGCACTGGCTTCATCGCAGACTCCTGTCTACATAGCTGAGGTTGTAGTTTGGCAATGTAGACAGCCTCTCTAGCATATCTAGGTGGCATTTGGTGCGTGCCCGTGCGTGAATCTCGAAGTGCGCTATGACGTTCTTGCATACTGCATTGAGGCAAGTAGGGAACATGATCAGGTGTGTAATAGCACTGTCATTTTTCTCAGCTGGCGGGTTGTGTGTGTATCCCGATCTTTTGTGTGGTACAATCAGCACCATCATCCAAATTGTGTACGTTGTTGCATCACCATTTCATCACCAATAAGCTGTACAAATTGGCATTTGTTGTGCTTCGTCTCAATATTACCATGTATGATTTGAGAACTTGAGAGAAGTAATGGTATGAACGGCCTTATCTGGTTTCGTCTGTACGTGTGTTAATATCTTCTGTTGTTAGCATACTTATCTCAAATCAGTAACTTGTGCCTCTTTGTATGCTTGTTTTGCAGGGGGGCGTATCATCGAGTCGGTGAGATAGTCCAGGTTTCCTTCTGTGGTGGAGAGGATGTGCCTAATGACTGCCCGTCATCCCCACCACCGTTGGTACCGTCGGTCAAGCTAAAAGACAGTGGTCACAGCAAACATCATCGTGCTGATGGTGTTGCTGCCGACTGGCGAGGCTCTCATCATCATCGCTCCAGCAGCAGTAGTGGAGGAGGTGACGATCACCACCACCGCTCCGCGTTCCATAGGGCCGGTAGCCGAGCAGGACCACCCAAGTCACGTGATGGTCAGTGTTGGCCATCATGATCTTTGGCAATTTATAAGCCATGCACCTTCTGGGTTGATTGTCTCTGGCGCATGTGCCGCATACCGAGAAAGTGAATTAGGGTGGATGCCGGTAGTTGGGTACATGAATTGGTGGAGACTTTGCTTGTTTCCATTGATAAAGTCATGAGCACCGGGGATGGTTTTTTAGCGCATGTGTGGTTTTTGAGTGTTCCCAGCACGAAACACAGTGCCGGGAAGTAGTTTACCACATCGGACACCACCCAGCCGAGCTGCTTGCCAAAGTTGTACCCGTTTTGTATTGTTACGTTCAGTTGTTACGTTCAGTATGCGTAAATCCATTCGCCAGTGTGCGAGCAGGGTCTTCCTTGGCTACTGATAGGGATGAGTGTATTTATTAGCGTTTGTGTGTGGACATATAATGTGCCTTGTTTGTTCTGTTTTTATTTGGCGTGTGTTGTGTTTCTTACAGGTAGTGTTACTTGTGACGCCAGTGATTTCCTGTACAAAATCCGTTTCTTAGATCACCACTCGCTGTCCACGATGAGTACTAAGTTCACAGTTCTGTCGTAAGTGCATCACTTCCGTGTTTCTTGTTGGGATGCTTCGCACTGTAATGCTAGTTGGTCTCCTGGCTCTTTCTTCCTGTCACACACACACACTCTCTCTTTCCGTTCTGCCTGGTGCCTGCAGGCGACACAGTGGACCAATTCGCAAAGATCTTCTAGAGCTATTTTTCCGGAAGCACATGGCACCCTTGAATGGCTCGGGTCCTCTCACAGTCTTAGTAAGTGTTTCTGGTTTGTGTGTAAGAAAAGGCACTTTTGTTCAGATTGAAACATTGAAACGGATTTTAATCAGAAAAATTTCAGGTGGCACCTCCTAGGGATCAAACATGGGAGCACTTGATTACCGTTCGATTGCTTTACCAATGAGATAGGTACCACATGACCTCCAAAGCTCAAATCAGCCCATTGTTCGGTAACTTGTTTGAAGCATTTGACTCCCTTGAGCCTTTATATCTATCTACCCCCTTCATTAGTCAGTCATCATGTTCAGGTCCATAGCTTTCTTTCCCCCAAAGCAGCCAGTGCCTCTATTGCTCATCCTTTTTCGTGTGTGTTGTATGCTTGATTCCCTTTGATTGCCTGAAGAATCCCGTTGTCAATGGCATGGACATTCGCCGACCACCTGTAGCGCGTTATGTGCAGATCACAACGCTCATGCCCTTGTCCAGCAATCAGGTTGCTACGCGGCAGCCTAGCGACCTGGCGACAGCGCACCAACCGCAACCACAGCTCTATGATAGGTCGGCGTCTCCGCAGCGCAACGACAGGGGTGCATTGCAGCAAGACACTGGCCACTTGCCACCATCAGCGCATCCGGACGAGAGGTCCATGATGGCGGGGAAACGTAGGTCTGCTGAGGATGAACTGTCAATGATGCATGGCAAGCGGCGAAGAGAAGAATCATATTCATCCGAAACAGATGCAAATTCTCACAGTAGGCGTAAGTGATAGTTCGTACGAACATAAATGGTACCTTCTGTGGATACCACCTGGCTTCTGCTTTTTGTTCATGCTGCACATGGAGCTATGAAGCCGAGACCTCTGGTCGGCTGAGCTTAATGGGCCCCACCACCACACTCCATTATTCACCCCAGTGTCTGGAGATAATGTGGATTTTGTAGAAAGAAAAAAAACACAGGGTGTCTCCTGGGCAACACAGGGCATCACATACTTATTTTCTGCATCGTACTGTGGATACTTTACTCAGTATTAGAACGAGGTCTGTCTCGTTGTCCAGGAAACGACCAATCAGCGACATTCCCGCCAAGGGCCTTATCAGAGTTTAAAGCCCGCTCAATCGTTATTTTACTACTCTTGATGACGCGTCGAGGGCCTTGGATTAGTTTAAAGCCCGCTGAATATACTCTAAACTGGTGCGTACAACTCCCTGTATGCATAATAGTACGGTGCAGATAATGAACTCTGCATAACGTGTACGGTGTACTACTAAAAGCTACGCAATTCAGAAGTGTGTACGGCTTTTGCCTCCCGTATTCTTTCATCTGTACGAATTTTCTTTGTCAACAGCTTGCGGAAACCTATAAAAAGCGAGGATCAAAGTCATTAGAGCTATCGACAAGGGGCTCTCAAAGCCCCTAAATAGCTCCACAAGCTACATACATGTATATGAATAAGAATGAAGCTCGCAATAAGAGCCCAGCATTTCATTTGCTTCCATTCTACTTTTAGTAGTCCTAAGTGGTGCTGAGTTACCATAACTTACCAGAAGAAAATATTCTTTCATACCACACCAAGTCTCTCTGCACACAAACCACAAAACTACCCCATATATTGGTACACAAGCATAATGGAAGTGACATAATGCATGTAACCTCGTTCTAAAATAGTTAGTGCATGGCAGGGAGGGTCTTATGGCTTGTTTGTGCCCTTCAGGTTAGCCCTCGGGCCTACGGCCCTCAGGCTAACCTTTCGGGCACTAACAAGCCATAAGGCCCTCCCTGCCATGCACTAACCTATAATTATACCAGCATAAGGAGAATTTAAGCCAGCAACTGTCAACATAATAATTTGTGTACATGTAGATGTATGATCTTTCCCTCAAACAACATGAATACAAGTAGATACGAATATCTTTTTGTGGAGCCGAGCATGCATTCTTTATCACCTCGCTTGTAGGTCTACCTTGGTGGACGTGTTGCACGTCGTGGTAAACTGGAGTGCTATAGTATGTTGCAGTGACTAGCTAGCTTTACCGGCGGAGAGTTTGTGTATGTGTATGCATGTACTGTATCCTCTGCCGGAGTTGGTTGTGCTACATGTAGATTTCGGCACGGTATGCTCTGGATGTGATTACTTGGTACATGTAGTATCAAGAGTCCATAAACAAGAGTATGCAACTGTAATCTCTTTTCTATGGGCCAGATGCGCGGCGCGCTGCCTTCATTACATCCTTCAGCTGCAGTCCGCGCACTGCGGAAAAACACCCCACTTTCCCTCTGGTTTGAAATGAACTTTCGTACAGAATTGGAGTTCACGCGCCAGAATTTAGAGATCGCGTAGGTACTGGAACGAATCGAGCAAAAACGGATGGGGTGTACGAGAAATAGTGAGTTTGAATGCATGCTTCCAGAGCGTGATGCATGCAAGTTACGTAATGAAGGCAGCGCGCCGCGCACTGACCCATAACCACAGTTGCATACTCTTGTTTATGCACTCTTGATAGTATACAATGCCTTTATTGTTATGAGCCTGTGGCTCTATATGCCGGGAAATTGCCATGTTTGACAGGCCTTATAGTGTATAGTGCTTCACTGTGATTGAACAATACTTGCTTTTTGTTGTGTTCCAGGGCAAATGGTGAGTGGCAGGGAATATGCATGGCGCCAAAAGGATGGCACGCCTGCACATGCCCGCGGGAGCTCTCCGTCGCATGGCATGCAGGACACATACGGCCAGCATCATTCAAACCCCAGGCACGAGGCATATCAGAGCCACCGTGGTGGCCACAACCGGTCATTGTCTTATCCCCAGACTCAACCAAGAAACAACCAATCGGATCGGCAAGAGCAGCTTTTAGCAGCAGAGAACTTGATCAAGGACCAGGAACGGGAGCTGCACATGATGCAAATGAAACTGAAGGAAAAGCAACAAGAACAAGAGGTATGTGTTTTGTCAGGGATGTACATTCTGTAGCCGTGTACAAGTAGAATTGTAATGATGGTAATTGTGCATCATGTCAATCGGCAACACCACTGAACCTGTTGTCTTTTGTTTTCTTGTTCATTTTTCGTATGCAGTAAAGTTATCACTTCATTTTTGCGATTAGTAGCTTGATGCTGCATGCATTGATGTGTCTGATTGTTTTGAAACTTGTGCAGCAAGAGAGAATAGAGAAACTCCGTGCTGAGCGGCAGAAAGAACAGGAAAGGAAGCGGGCTGAGCATCTTGCTCGTGTGGAGTGGAAGCGACCTCGAGATGATCTTCTGTGTGACGATCTCAAGGTAGGCGGTGGACGCTGAGTGTTTGTAGAGATGCGGAAAGTGTGTTTGACCAGTTGGTGCGGGTTGCGGATTGCAGGCCTTTCCCATACACATGTCGGCAACCATAAAGGAGTGGTCCGTACCAACGAACATTCATCAGTTTTACTTGTCTGTGCTGTTGGTGATTGCTGCTGCTGCTGCCATGCTAGAGTTGAAGAATTTGGTAGATGTTCGCCAAGCTGATTCTATGCGTCTGGGTAGGGTTTAATATCTGTGTGTGTGTCTGTGTGTGTGTGTGCGTGCATTGCTTGCTTGCTTGCTTGTTGTGAATGTTTGGCTTCTACTCAGCCTCTTCCAGCATCTGAGTCAGTGACTAGTAAGCTGCCGGTGGAGCTTGTTGGAGATGCGTTGATGCTGTGCGAGTTCATCACTGCTTTCTCTCACATCTTTACATCTGCTGAGCATGCCTCAGCCCTGCGTGAGATCTCGCTGGGTGAGTGTATTCGGATTGGATTGTAGTTCAGGCAGCACAGTACAGAATGGAGTAGGTTTGCCAGTTTACATGGATACACATATGCACTGGAAATGCACCGTGTTCACAGCAGCATCCCTGATCTCCACCTGCATGTGCTGGCATCACTGCGGCAGTTTTGTCGGTGGTAAATAGGATGCAACAAGAGTTTGGCATGCTTTTTTAGTGTGCATCAGACAGTGCATGGTTCTGATGGGCTCTTTTGTGCTCCGGCATGCTAACATTTCTATTATGTACGCTTTATCTGCATTTGGGGTACTTTAAGTTATAATACTGTACATGCTCCTACACTTTCTGTTCATGTTTGAAGTGCCTGCATACAGATATTTGCTTTAACTATCTCGTATCTACTCCTTCTCTCTGCATTGTTGTGATTCAGGTACTGTTGAGTCAGCTCTATGCGATTATGAACTGGACGGTCCACTTCTGACTCTGTTGCAGTTCTTGCTTGGGGCTGTGTTCCAAACACAAGAAATGCTTGAGGCAGACGAGGCCAAGCATGGTGTGTTTGCAACGAGTGGTGCCTCCTCTAATGCGCAGGTGCTTGCCGGAGAGGGCGTGACCGATGGCAGTGCCACACACATGGCCAAGTGGTGCCTTCAGCATCATGGCATACGGCTGCGTGACCATGAAATCACGGCGCTCACTGTCAGCGAGATGTTGCGTATGCACCTACTGGCTGTTGGCGGTAACTGCACAGGTAGGTTGTTATATCTAGCAACAGGCATGAGTGGTGGTGGTGCATTTTAGCTATGTAGCTTTTTATAGCTGTGGAAGTGCATGCATGATAGGCCGACAAAGCAATTTAAAAATATGTCCAGATCCCAACTGCTCAGTTTTCTCGGACTGTTTCAGATATTGATGAATCTGTATTGTGTGGTGGCTCATATTGTTTATCTACCTGTATATTTTTGCTGTAGGGTCGGGATATATACACCGCTCTCCCATTAGCAACTGGCAGCGGGGAGGTGGATTCTCCACCATGGACGACGCGTGTGTCACGGTGCGCTCTGAACATCCGGGAATCATTCGCCGCTTGCTCGGTGCGTCTGTTGTGGAGCTGAGCGCCAAGGAGAGGTGCATTGTAATGACAACACTCTGCCAGCACCTGGTTGTAACACTGTCCATCCGGGACTGTGTGGAAGAGTCATTCACCTCCTGGCGCCGTGCCCGGCAGGCCTGGAAAGATAGCCAACAGTCGATCGAGCGGCTTAAGCGCTCTGAGGCAGCAGTACCAGCCGCATCTAGTCTTGCTTCTACTAGTGAATTTTCATCTTTGAAGCCAACACCTAGTACTGACGAGTAAGCAGATATCCTTAGCTATCCTTAACTATTATGGAATGCCGTTGGGCATCTGTATTAGTAGTTCTCAGATTGTCTTGCCTCTTCGGGCACGTATGCTTTGTGTTCAGTACCTAGTGTTGTTTCCGTGCCTGATTGGAGCCGAGCATGCGTTCTTTATCACCTCGCTTGTAGGTCTACCTTGGTGGACGTGTTGCATGTCGTGGTAAACTGGAGTGCTATAGTATGTTGCAGCGACTAGCTAGCTTTACTGGCCGTAGACCTGTTAACTGTCTTTTGCCAGGGCTGGTGGTGTTACATGTAGTGTGGTGCATGCCGTGTACATGTACCTGTTTTGTGCTCGAATACTAATGCCCTTGTACGGCTAATGTCGTCGTTTTGAGCAAGCATCGCTTGTTCTCCAGTACTCTTAGTAGACTTACTAAACCATGTCTTTCTTGGTACTGCTGTGCTCTTTTGCTGTGCAGACCAACATCACGTGATGCCGTTGCTAGCATCAAGAGGGAGGATTCTCTTGTTGACAGTGGCGCCGTCACTCCTGATCCGTCAGCACCTGAGCCGATGGACTCCAGTGAAACAGTGCCAGGATTGAATGTGCCTGGTAAAGTGGATGAGGATTCGCTTGACGCGTCTGCTGCCTCACCGGATGTTTTAGACTGCCAGTCAACAGCCAGCGGTACTGCAAGTCAACAGCACACACCTAGATTGGAAGCTGGCGACAGTCCGCAATCATCATCTTCGCCGTGCATTGTCAAGACTCATGGTGAAGCTACATCTGCAGAGAGCACACATTCCCCATCATCATCACAGCCAGATGCTGCCGAAAATGAAGTAGCCAAAGCTGAGAAGATCCGTGCAGCACTGCGAGAGCACATTGCCGAGCAGGAGAAGCAGCGTGCACAGTACCAAGAAGAAGTTGGCGAGCATGTCTCGCGCATTCGCGTTCAACCGCTTGGTCGGGACCGCTTCTATCGCAAGTACTGGGTGTTCCGGTCTCAGCCAGGTCTGTTTATTGAGACTGATTATTCAAGACTTCATGATATGATAGACTTGAAAGAATTTGCTGGTCAGGCTGCTAGCAGTATTGATTCCAGCCAAATCTCACCAGTTAATACTACATTGACCAGGCAGGGTCAAGGCACCACTGTTGGTGGTCCTGGATCCGTGCAGTTGTCTTTATCCCCGCCATCATCAGCATCATCATCGTCTTCATCAGATATTGCTACAGCCCTGGACCACTCAGTGACCACTTCTTCTGGAGCTGGAAACGCCGCCAATATGTTACTGCAGTTCCGTAATGCTGCCGGTGCTCTGACCAATTCACCGCTGTTCCCCGCCTTAATGATCAGCAGCACAAGCAGTGCAAGTGGTAAACATGATCTGGATTATGGGCTGCTGAGCGATGCACTGGATGCTGCGGCCAGCGCCCCGTTTACGTCTTGGACTATTTATAAATCGCCCGCCGACCTAGATAACATCATAGCTGCATTGAACTTGCGTGGTTTTCGCGAGCGTGCCCTCGCCGATACTCTGAAGCAGAAGCGCAATTCAATAGTCAAGTCCCTTAAGCAGTGCGATGAGCAAAACCAGGACAGTGCTACTGGCAAGGCCGAGAAAGAGTCCCTGTCTAATGCAGCCAGTGCTGTAGAGAGCTTTGAGAAGCAACTGCGCGAGTCCATTTTGTCTCTGGAGGATCGGCTGTGGAATGGCTGCATGGGTTCTGTGGCCGTGGGGGACCGGGCTACCTGGCGTGCTGCTCTCCAGGAGCCCAGCACCAAGACTGAAGGTGTTGGCGCTTCTCCGGACAGTCAGCAAGCTGATGAGGCCGAGAACAGCACACCTGAATCATCTGAGAAACCTGCCTCAGTGCTGAAGCATGATCACTGCTATCCGTCCGATGTTACTATTGACGATGACAACCTTGCTGATGATGCCCAGTCAGTGTCTTCAGAAGTCCTTAGTGCCTATTCAGATCTTGATTCTATCCCTCCCAATGTCAAGGAGCTAGCAGATGCTATCCTGAAAATTGAGGAATGCATCGATCCTCGATTTCTCAAGTGTCCGCTGGCGAACACTCACCGCAAAGGTGAGACAAAAGCAGAGCAAACTGCCAACAATCGTCGCAAAGTGACAGTCCTGCAACTGTGGCGCTCTGCTGTTAGCGCCTCTCAAACTTTGTCGCAGATTGCTCTGAACCTCCAGGCGCTTGTCTCCAGTATTCGTTGGGAACGCTCTGTCCTAAATGCACGCTGCCGCACGTGTCGTCGAAAGACGGATGCTGAGAACATGTTACTGTGTGACTACTGCAATGGCGGCTACCATCTCTACTGCTTGAAACCACCGCTCAGCAAAGTGCCGGCAGGTGATTGGTTCTGTGTACACTGCAGGCCATCGCGGAGCTTGCGTAAAGATGACAGCAGCGTGGCAAGTTCTGTAGCCATCTCCATCGCTCTGCCGACAGATGCTGCTCCAGCTGTGACAGGGAGCACTGCCAGCTCTGTTCCTGATGGGGCTGGTACTTCTGCTGGTACTTCGTCTGCTGCTGCTGCTGCTTCGGATACTGTTGCAACTTCCAAACCTGAAGAGACATCAGTACCAACTTCAGCTAATACTGCTGCAGCATCTTCTACTAGCAGCACAGTCGCAGCTTCTGCGTCTAGCTCATCAACGGCATCTTTGAAATCTGGTACTCGGCAAACAAGTACTTCCTCGACTGGACCGGCAACTGCTGCCGCTTCAACCACATCACTCTCCTCCAAAGTGCTGGTCAGCGGAGAGATCGACCGTGACATCTGTTTCATCTGCCGTGATGGCGGAGAGTTGCTTCTGTGTGACACGTGTCCACGCTGCTATCACTTATACTGCACGAACCCTCCACTTGCTGTGATTCCCGATGGTGACTGGGTATGTCAGATCTGCGCCAGTGAGCAGAAGGAGAAGAAGAAGGCTGGCACTGCTGGGAAGCCACCTAGCAGCGCTAGTCCTGTTGCCAAGACACAGTCCAGCAAGCCGACAAGGTCATCATCGCGCCGTGAAGCCAAGCCTAAAACTACTCCGACCGCCACTAGAGCCACTAGTAAGAGGTCTTCGGCCAGGAAATCGGGCAGTGCCGTGTCAGACGCAGATGCAGATGACTTCACTGAGTTTCTGGAGGGCGGTGAGAACCGCCGCTCAACCGAGTCTAGGGGAGGAACGTTGGCTAAGCAGCTCAAGTTGTGCGAGACAATGTGGCGTGAGCTGAAGAACCACGCTGAGGCTGGTTTGTTCTTGGAGCCTGTCTCCGCTGATCGGGTAAGCAATGTGTAATTATATGTTTGGTGTTGTGTGTGTGTGTGCATGAGCATGGAGCGGAGGGCGATTGCACCTCATATCAATGTGTATGAATGTGTTGTGATTACATGAATCTCTTAATTTGCTAAATCCTATATATAGGATTTTGGTCATATTTTTCAACTCAAAATGGGTGTGGCATGAGAATAGCAAAAAGTATGTGACCAATTCTTCCTTGCTAGGTCTTAGTAGATATCGAGAGTTGAATAAGATAATTTTTTCAAACACTTACATCTCAGGCTCATCTCCTTGCTCAATATTACTGAGGCCTGTGCCCTATTTTTCGAATCCTTTATATAGGATTTGAGATTTTATTGGACCTTGTTTTATCCTTAAAACTGGTAGTTTCATGACGGCATGTGTGATATGTCATCATGAAACCACCCCGTGCCACACCTGCAATGTTCTTCTGCACATTCACTGCTTCAGTCCTTTCCATGACAGCAGCTGAAAAATTATGCTCAAATTTCCAATTCTTGCTGAAAATGGGTATTCATCAGAAATATTATCGCCCTATGAATCTAAAATGTAAACATTCATGCCTCAAACATATTTACAACTTCCATGAAAACCATTATGCCGTTATTCTTGGTCGTGACGACCAAAAACAACGGCATAAAAGGCACACATTTTCAAATCCTATATATAGGATTTTTGGCCAGCAAATTAAGAGATAGCGTCCATGGAGCTATGAAGCCGAGACCTCTGGTCGGCGGAGCTTAATGGGCCCCACCACCACACTCCATTATTCACCCCAGTGTCTGGAGATATGTGGATTTCGTAGAAAAAATAGCCTTTAGCCTACGTACATGAAATTGATTGTTTTCGGGCGGTTTTCGAAAATTCAAGCACAGGAATGCTTGAATTTGGAAAATCCTCAGGAGCTTCTGAGCATTGGGAATATTTTGTTTGTGTTTTTTTGCAAACCACGCCAGTGGTGGTGGTGTTACTTTCATCGTTGGTTGCGTCATTCCTGCCATTGTTGCTGCCTTTTTTTATCTTCAGGTTCCGGATTATCATGTTATCATCAAGCGACCTATGGACCTTGGCACCATCAAACAGAACTTGAAGCTAGGGCGTTATTCTTCAGCCGCTGACTTTATCACCGATGTACGCCAGATCTTCGTCAACTGTGCAGAGTACAACCCAACACGTACTCGAGAAGCACGCTCCGGTGTGAAACTGTCTCTGTTCTTTGAAACTCGATTATCGGAGCTGGGCCTAGACCAACTTTCACCTCAATGAACAGCTCGCTCACCCCGTGTTCATTTTGCCCATTGCCTTTTTTGTTGCTGCAGGTGTAGCTGTTTCTTGGCCGCCGCAGTACTGCCACCGCCAGTGGTGCGTGTGCTGTGCTTTTGTGTGCTGTGCTTTTGTGTGCTGTGCTTTTGTGTGCTGTGCTTTTGTGTGCTGTGTGTATGTGCTGTGCTTTTGTGTGCTGTGCTTGTGTGTGTGTGTGTGTGTGTGTGTGTGTGTGTGTGTGTGTGTATGTCTGTGTGTCTGTGTCTGTGTGTGTGTGTCTGTCTGTCTGTGTGTTTGTTGGTGTTTATTTGTGTTGTGTGAGTGTAGGAATGTGTTTGTGCGAGTGTATTGTTTCTGTTGTGTGTACAAGCAAGACTAGTGCTCTAGACTGCTGGTGTGCTCATGCCGCAGTAGCTGCTGCCACGCCCCTGTCTTGTTTTCTGGCGTATATTTTTTTCCTACCCACAAACTAACCTCTAGCCCTGTCTGTGTACATCCTAACCTTTTGCTGACACTGGAAGTGAAATGGAATTTTACACCTGATTTTATTTAGGCCAACCAAACTGGCCAAATAATCCCATTGCAGCACCAGCTCTCCATTTGTTTGCTCTTGTTTATTTTCACCTAGCTAGCTACTTGTGAGCAAAGGATGCTTTTGTACGTTTCGACTGCTTCCTGTAACTTTTCTCTTTGCTGCTGCTGCTGATTGCTAATGGCTTTAGAATTGGAAGCAGACAAAATCATTTTAACAATTCAAACTGCCTTTCTGTGGTCCTGGCACTTCAGCCCTACCACCTTTCCGTCTAGCACTTCTGATCTGCTCGTACATTTCCACTGTAATTACTGTTATTATTTCGTTTCTTGTACTTTGGAATACGGAAAAAAGCTGATAGCTTGATAGCTAAGTGCAATGTGCAACTGCAGCCACACAAGGCATTTGTGCCCTGGGAGTAGAGTGCGGAGAATACCTCGGCACTGCTATGTGTACTGTAAGTACACTATTTCAACTGAATATTAATTTCAGTATTCGGCACCCAATTTAATACACCTGGGGACTTTTCCATGCGCATTCAATAATTATTTCCGAAACGAAAACTCCTAAAACCAACCCGCCCGGCGCCCCTCGACTTGTCAGTGGAACTGGCCAAAATGGCAAAAATTAAAAACATTTTTTAAGGCAAAATCAGGGAGTCGTCAAATACCGGTATTTGATGACTCCCTTACTTTAAAGACAAAGGAAATCAATACCTGTATCTTGATTACTAGTATTCAAGCTCTCCTCATGGACCACCAAGGCTCTATGCACCCCTCCCCCTCGCTCATATAGTCGTGCTTAGGAGCAGGACTTCTGGCTAATGCAGAAGTTGATAAGGAACATGCCCTAACTAAGAGCTTGGGACGACTACAAGGTGGATGTAAATTGTAAAATGAAGAAGGATAATTGCTACCAAGAGTACATAACATTATGAAGTACTCTTGTTACTACGTGTATTGATTGCCATGAGAAAAACAGATCTCCCAGAGAGGTCATAGTTAAATTTCAGGGAAACTAAAAAAGTACTTTGAAGTAGTAATAAATCAGTGGGCACATCAGCATTCCTGGGGTAAAACAAAAGCTTCAGCATTGATTCTTTGGCACAGTACCAGTACTTCAGAAAGTAGGTCAGACACACAGTCCACACTAGTCCTTGCCACCAGTGACCCTGCCCATCCGGTCGTGACATGCGGAGAGCCATTCATCTGTGGCGCTCCCCGGGTCCGAAGAGTAAGATCACCGTATGTGTGCGACGGTGCAAAACACGGAAAAAGGATCCTGAGCTGAGTGGAAGCCCCCAGCAGCAATTCACATCTATCTTCAGCATCACAACACAAGCTGAGTGATCGCATCCATAGTTTTGCTAAGAGGCTAGCGAACGCCTTTTAAAAATGACTTAATCCTCATCACTACTCCACGCATCTTGCAAGGCTTGCGGAACTTCAACCTGACGTGGTGCAACCTGGCAACAAAGAAACAGCAGCAGCAGCACCAATGTCAGAGTTAGACAATCATGATCCGTTTGCAACCCAGGAGAAGCATCAGGAGCACTTTGCGGAAGCTAACACACCACAGAGCTGTCCTTCCAGTTCCCAAAGCCAGTAAGCATTCGACTAGCGTCTCTCACCTCTGCGCGATGCCTGACCTCCTCCACTGCTACAGGCGAGTGTGCTTTGCGGGCGCTCCACCAGAGTATGCGTGAATCCATGGCTCCGCTGAACAACTCCTGAGCATCACAAACAATCAGAAATCAGCACCATGAAGAAATGCCATTTGCCACTAGTGCACTAAAGAAAAGAAGAAAAACACACCAATACTTCTGTCCAGTAGCAATCTTCTAGTACCCGGTTTATCATAACTCCCAGACAAACATAACAGGATCTTTGCCGTTCAAAGAGCAAAGGCGCACAGGTCTTGCTGTACCCATACCTGCTTTCCTGGCCGTAGCACGCAAGCATCACAGTTGCCGAAATGACCATGCAGTGTGCGCAGCTTGGCGCCCGACGACAGATCAAAGCAGTCGACGTTCATGGCATTGGGAACAAAGATCAACCGGCGGCGACTGTCCTTGGAGATGGCCATTTGAATGCTTCTCCGGCTAGACGCCTGCATACGACCAAAGTTTACCTATTGAACACATCACGTAGAGCATAAGAGAGCAAAGACATTAAGCTGGAAAACACTAGTAACAGCATACAGTGGAAAACAACACACCATGCATATGTGTAATGATTATGTTGCAGACACACGCAGACACACAATTCCACATACGCATGCACACGCAGACACAGACACACACACAGACACACACGCACATGGCACATACCAGAGTATTGGTTCCGGTGCTTGCATCCCAAACGCGCAGTTGCTTGTCATTGCCCAGACTAACGACATGATGGCCGTCGGGAGTGAATGCAACACTGGTGACTGCACCCATGTGACCAAGCTTGCCTACATGACACACAATACAACAACAAAACAATACAAGCACTCACACCAAAAGCGACAGCAAGGTGAAACAGAAGACATGTGACTGTGCATTGCACACTGCACTTAAGCAAAACCTCATGCACACCGCCATCTTGTTTGGGATCTTGTGCAGCCTGGCAAGCAGCCAAGGGGCAAGCAGCCAAGGCAGCCAAGGGGGCAATCACAGAGACAGTGTGCACGTACTGCTCTAGTTGAGAACATGACAGTAGGTTTTACCAAGAGTACATAACCCCCCAGAGTGTGCAACTCCCACATACCCTGCTGTCCCGACAGAATTTCAAGTTGACGTTATTATTATGATGCAATGCTCCTTGCACCAGTGATTTACAACATGTGTACGGGTGTCAACGCATCACACGTTTTTCTTTGCAATAATTTGTACAAGATCGATCGACTTCGGTCAACCACAGGTTCCGGATTCGTAGTACATGTACTTCACTGTATTTCAAAAGTACTTTTCCGAGACACAAGAAACAAAACTAAATACAAAGGGCCCCGGCATGAAGCATGGTACTGGTGACAACGTACACAAGAGCCATGACTTCAGCAATCACACCAGCCAAACCGCTAGGTCATACCATCAAATGTCAGCTGCTGACGTCCATTGTGCTGATCACACGCAAACAGCAAGCTCTTGGCACGGCGCACATCCCACATCAAGATTTTGTTATCTGCTCTGGGACAGTATCGTACACATGCGTACACAAACACACGGACACATACACCCACCCACACTCATGCATACACCCACCCACGCACCCACCCACAAGCATGCATGCACACCCACGTACGCAATTGTCCACATACACAATCAATAAGATTCTATTTGTAATCTGAATAGATGAGCACACGCTACGCAAACACATACGGGGGGGGGGGGGGGGGGGGGGATGCTCATGTTCTGGCTGCTCCGGCCTCGGGCCTTGAGCAGCCAGAGCAGTTTGATTGGTGTTGCTGCTGCTGCTGTTGTTATTTGTTGTTGCTGCTGCTGCTACTGCCACAATCTTCTTCATATTCTTGATCATCCTCTGGATCCACCACTGTTGCTCCATCGTCTCATAGGAGTCCCGTTTGTCTCAGAACTCTCATCGCGCCAACTACTGGCCCAGTAGAAGATAGACTTACCCTCCAGACACCAGGTGATAGTCATTGCTGGGAGACCAGGCTACACTTAGCACACGGTCGTTGTGACCTGCACAGCAGTAAACAAACAAACAAACAGGATAAGCAATTGAGTGAAGGAAGAATAAATTGCTTGCCTGCGGAAAATAGATTGAAAGCTCAAGCTTCTGACATGCAGAGAGAGAGAGAGAGAGAGAGAGAGAGAGAGAGAGAGAGAGAGAGAGAGAGGGAGAGAGAGAGAGAGAGGGAGAGAGAGGGAGAGAGAGAGGGAGAGGGAGAGAGAGAGAGAGGGAGAGAGAGAGAGAGATAGAGAGATCGCCCAACGAGACGGCAACAATGGCCAGAGCCCCAGGGGCAGGTGATTCACCACAACTACCACATGCATGTTATGCCTCCCGTGATCCCGGCTATTTTGCCTGGCAGTGCCGAAATATGAAACCGCAACAGGGAACCTAAATGTGACTGGCAGACAGACAGACGGGACCAGAAGGCCAAGTTCCTGGAATCTGTGAATAAAGCCAGGACTGCTGACAAGATTCCCGATGCCCTGATTGTAAACTGGGACCAGACTGGCATCCATCCGGTACCAAGTTCAGAGTGGACAACAGCTGCGAGTGGCAGCAAACAAGTTGAGGTGCGTGGCCTTGGTGACAAGCGGGAAATTACCGTCATGCTTGCCATCAGCTTGTCTGGAACTCTCCTGCCACCACAAGTCCTCTACGCCGGAAAGACCAATTGCTGTCATCCACGGCAAAGTTTTCCTGTGGATTGGGATATTTTCCAAAGCGAAAATCACTGGAGCAATGAGAACACCATGTTGCATTTTCTTGACAGCGTCCTAGTGCTGTATGTCAAGGCAACTCGTCGACAGTTGAAGCTACCCGAATCACAGCCTGCCCTCGCTATCTTCGATATGTTTGCTGCTCACTGAGTGGACTCTGTGAAGGAAAAGCTCAAGGAGAACACCATCAAGTCTGTGTATGTGCCAGCTGGTTGTACTGGAGAATTACAGCCATTGGATCTCGCCTTCAATGATCCGTTCAAGCGTGCTACGAAGCAGAAATTCGCAGACTGGTACATGGTATGCAGTAGAAGTGAAAGAGGGCTTTGGATGAAGATCGACTAGTCAATGTAAAGATCAACACTGCTGCAATCAGGGAACGTCATGCACAGTGGCTCATCCAGGTGGTTGGCTGGAGCTGGACAAGGATGCCGACCGTATCAAGCGCGGCTTTGTACAAAGTGGAATTGCTGAAGTGTAAGACTCTTGCTGTCAGTGACATGTGTTCAAATGCAAGCAAGGTCTTGGAACCGTCCGCATACTGTCATCCACGACACTAGTAGTATTATAGTTTGTTATTACAAGTTTGTTCGGAGAAGTAACGTTTCTCCGCGCTCTCCTTCGGGAGAGCGAACAGTTTTTATCAAATTGAGTGAAGGAAGGAATGGAGCGAGGGATGAAACTCGAGAGGGACGGCCAGTGTTGAGTCGTGACTTGCAGCTGTTCGGCTGGTTGGTTACCCGGAGCTCCGTCAACGCGGGCATGGAGCTGATGCGAGCACGTGGCCGAGGTTGCGCTGACTAGTTGGCGGCTAGCCGAGCTCGACGACGTGTACTATGGTGTACGGCCTCAGTAACGGAACTGCCACCCCAACACCGGCAACGCAACGGCTGCAGAATGTTGGAGTCTGCCTTGTTCGTCCTGCCAATGTGTCATGCAAGTAATCGCTAATAGTAATACTAGTACTACTTGTAGTTTGTGACACTCTTGATCTCGCAGACTTGTGTGCAAATGCAAGTTTTGTGACAGTGTCGATGCACTGTACCGTAATCCATGTGACTAGCATCATTTTCACGATCATGCGTTAACGCCTGTGTTCATGCTCACACGAGCGTGCGTTTGCTTTTTTTGCTCCGCTACAAAAGCAATGCCAGAGGTGGGATTTTTCTCTCTCGTATGAATTCAATCGCAAACATTAAACAGTGCAAACCAGTCTCAATTTGTAAAACGCAAACATTTATTGTCGCAAACGTTACCTGTTTACAGTACTCCCTTATACAGACATCCCTTGTACCAGCCCTAGCCCCGGCCCCAGGGCCCAGTACAAGAGTCTTGGTAGTGACAGGATGAGAGTGATGACAGCAGCTTACCACGGAGAATCTGCGATGTCGAACCCGTCTCCAAGTTGCACAACTTGATACTATGTTCTTTCCTGGCAACTGGATACACACACACACGCACACAAACACACACACACACACACACGCACACACACACAGGCACACACAGACACACACACACAGATGCACACAAACGGAAATGACCAGCCGGTCATGCAGTTCCGCGTTATAATTAAACTTCACCCTTCCTGCCCAAAGACCCACAGATGTGGTCCGCCCACGCCGAAGCAGTCTTTGCCACGCGGGGTATTACACAGCAGTTCACATAATTTCAATACGTCGTCATTGGCGCCTGGAGCCAGAGTATGCCCTTGAGAGTGGGATATGATTATTATTTATATCTCTCCCTGATAACCGTCCCTACGAACAGCTACGAGACACATTAGTTGGCCAGACCCAACAGTAGGGACCTTTCGCATTTGCTACGAATCGAATGCGAAACGAAAGTTTGATTCGGCTCGTAATCGTTTCGTTGAAAACAGAATTCAGGTTTCGCAAGTCGTAATGCAAATGTGCATGGCAACTACGAATACGGCCGGTAGCTAGCTTGGCGTACGGGTGTGTTGGCGCACACGTGCATGGATCATGCATGGAATCAAGGGAAAAATGTGTACCTGGCAAAAATATGTGTACCTGACGGATTCGGAGCGTGCCACGAATGAAGAGGCTTCCATTCGTGAAAACGAGCTCTCCGCGGCAACTCTGACGAATCCTCGAACCCAGGTGACGAATCAGCATTCGTTTCGTATCCGTACGCGTGGTGCGAAAAGTCCCTAGTCTCAACAGCAGCACGCATGTCAAATCCTCAGGACAGCTTACTCCTGAATATCTCTAGCATTGGTCACGTAAATGAATGTACATTTACGTGTACTTTTTGGCACAGTGCTGCTCGGTGAAATCTTATCACGCGAGCCAAGAGCCCATGCAGGGCACAAACTTGACTCACGTGATCAGATGTCACTGAGATGCACTGGTACTTCAGAAACCAACAACTTCGGCAGCTATTTAAAGGGGAAGTCCGGTGAAAAATTTAAATTTCACAGTCCGTAGAGTTCGGGTCGCTGAGTCGAATGGTCTTTGTCCGAGGAGGCTGCGGCTTATGGTTCGTCAGATACGCCCAATCGAACATGTGCGAATTTGAGCGCGCATCACCCAGATCCAGGTGATGACGTCACAGCGTGCAGCCAGGTAGCCACACCATCTAGCTGTGTACATAAATGGCCATATTCGGAGCGCGTTCGATTGGGGAACTGTTTGTCGCAGCTTCCTCGGACCAAGACCATTCGATTCAGTGTTACAAACACTACGTACCCTGTGATCTTCAGCTCGGTAAACCTCGAGGTTATACCGTATTTTAGCCGTTTCCGAGTTGGACTTTTTCCGTCAGCCTCTCCGCGCTGCGTGCATGCAGTGAGTGCAGTGCACTAGTGTGTTATCTAGCTGTGGTGCAGTCAACAAACTCATCACAGACGGAACTACTCCCGCACTGCCGTGCTGGGGTAGTATCTACAACAAGACTCGAGTCACAACTGACACAAGACTCAGAAAACTAGTCAACACACGGACTTGTCATGTACTACACTCGTATCAGTCGTATTGTACAGTCATGTAGTCAGAGAACGTGCGTTTTTCCTTGCCGGTGCCGGTGGCGGTGGTTGTGCTTTGAGAAAGAAATTTTAGTTTTCCGCTCCCGCCTCATTATTTTATGCTACAGCGATGAGTGCACAACCGTGACAAGTGACAAAACAGGGAACAGCTCCCGGACCTAGAACTTCCAGATTCCATAGCGTTGCGAGCGAAGAGTCGTGCCCGTGGTTCAAAGAGCCTGCACTGTTCTCCAATTGAGTAGTCCGAAATATTCCAAGTTCGCACCAAAACATCACCATGTGGCAGGCTACTGGAGTCTAAGCGAATCTAATCGGTATGGAACAACATTTAGAGCACTCGCATCACTCTTCTCCATTTTGGCGACCCTGCTCTCCAGCGATCTGATAATTACACCAGCCTCGTCTGCAATAGCTGCTGCTTTTTCATCAGTCGGAAACTCAGTAGCGCTCACTCTTGACGGGCCCGCGCGGCCATTTCTTCAGCTGAATACTGAGGTTCTCAGCCCCAGACCGAACTCATGAAGGTCAGCCATGGCTGCATCCTCACTTTCACAAGGAGTTACAGGTCTTCGGGGTCGCTTGCACCACCTAATATCAGTCGCCAAATCATTTGAAATAGCACTGACACTATTGCTGTCACGCACTCCTTATGACCTAGCTGCACGCTATGACGTTGCAGAGGGTGTGGCGCGGCCGCATGACGTCATGGCGCAGCCCCCGAAACTCAGTTTTTCAAACGGAAATATCTCGAGAATGCTTTGTCGGAGACACGTGGGACCAACACCATTCGACTCAGCGCCCGAAACTCTACCGACACTGAAATTTAAATTTTTCACCGGACTTCCCCTTTAATTTTAGCAAATTTCGGCGCAGAGCTTCAACCACACAGCTACAGGAAACGGTGATGTGCTGTACCAAAATGTGGCCCAGAATCTGCGAAAACCAGGCTTAAGGGTGAAAATCATTTTTTTGAGAAAATTGATGTTTTGTAAAAAGGTTGTGTCGCGTGGACGATCGAGTGCAGTGAAGTGGAACCAAAGAGAATCTCGCTTGTTTGAAGAAGTAGCAGTCATGGCAGGAAGGGTTTCAGCAGTCAGGGAAGTCAAAGGGCTTCCGGTAGAATATTCTCTGCTACTCCTCTAGTCACAACGAAGAGTTTTTGAACTGATCGAACGGATTCCATCTCCTACACTCAGGGATGGCGAAATTTCTGCGCTAGCTGCTGCTTGCGGAAAATGGTGAGGAATCATCTCCAGTTAGAGTCGTGATGGCGATAGCGAGGAGAACCTGGACGACAGCGATACAGCCAATCGAAATACGGAGATACTAGCTGTTTCTGGGCCTCACGCAAAAGGAACACGCGCAGCAGAGCTCATACGTTTGCAGCAAGTTCACGAGGAAAAAGGCTTGAAGCTCAGTGTGAAAACTGTTTTGAATTGAAGTCCTTGGCGATGAAGTGCTACTGAAGGCCAGGCGAATGAGCGAGCAGATCGAGAGGCCCCCACTCGAGACTTTCCTCGCTGGACAGCTAGCTGCAAGGGATTGTACAGCGTGCCGATATTTCACTTGCTGGTCAGCACCAAGCAGATACTGCAGCACGCCAACACGCCAGCACACTATGCGCTTACTATGAACAGTGGAACAGTTTGAAAGGCTGTGTTCTTGCTTGTTTCTAAACAGTTGTACTAGATTCACCCTTCAAAAGGTGCCATCTCAACTGGAGTCGGGTTTCCTTGTGGTGTGTAGCGCCAGAGCATGCCAGCACATGTATTCAGCCTCAGAATGTGCTGAGTGAGGAGCAAACAAAATTCATGCAGAACTGTGCATGGCCACTACACAGTCTACAGCCTGCAGCACCAAGGGCCACAACAAGCCTGCCCCCACATGCCTACCTTGTCATGTCACCTAAACAAAAATGTCTCTTCCTTCAGTCTGGTGTATCTCTCTTCATTTCTTTCCTGTGAACAATTTTGTGTGTGTGTGTGTGTTTTTTTTTAGCACAATACCCTGGTGTGTTTGAGATACTTTTAATACCACTACGAGTCGACCCACACCTGTAATATTTTGTTTCCTGACCTCTCATGCCCAATAGAAGCTGAAGATGGGAAAAGTCATTTTGTGAAATTTCACCCTAAGCCTGGTTTTCGCAGATTCTGGGCCATGTGTTGATACTATAATGCTAAATACTGCAAATAACGTTAGCAGCCATCAACTTTGACATGTCAACCAGAAGATCATTCAGTAACACTATGCAAGGGAAGACTCCGTGTGTAGACCAGGCATGCAATTTGTTCTAGAAGCGACACACATCTTTGGCTTTGGTTCTACCTTTCAACGACATCCACTTGCTCAGTTGGAATGCCATCCAATTCTAGCAAGTTACAAGTGATGAAAGGAAAGCTATCACCCGTCATTGGATTGTGAACATGACTCACTAGGGTGTCGTGGACTAGTGGCTTACCGGCAATAAGACTGTGGGCAGTGCAGGACGACACGGCATGGCAGTACAATGGCTCCTCAAACTGAAACTGCTCAGCCACCTACGATGACAACAACAGCAACGACAACACATCTCTTATTGGCCACTGGCTATCGTGAGAATAAAGATTTGAAACAGCAGCAGCAGCAACAACATTCTATTATTGGCCACAGGCCATCGTGAGAATAAAAGATTTCAAACATGCAGTGCTCATACTTGTCATGTGGCCGTCGCAATGACACAGTTCAAACGTTCCATCACAGCACATGTATACGTATGTACAAGCGTTACTGCTTTCTTTGTTCTGGAAACAGAAGTCAAAGTCAAACAATGTAGCCTTCTCCTTGTGAGCTGCAAGGCTTAAACCCGCTGCGGTATTTCCATAGAAACTTCCATACACCCGGAGATGACCTCTGCCACCTCGCCCAGTCAAAACAGCAGGAAAGAAGAATCTGAAATTGAGCAACACCCCTGCCTCGTACAAATATTTGCAAGGTGTACATTGGGGCTGCATATGCACGGATACAGCCACCGTTTGAGTGGGTAGTACAGTGCTACTCAATGAAATCTGATCGCATGAGTCAAGTTTGCGTAGCCCTGCACCAGCTCACATCCCAGTGTTCGCAGGGCTAGGGCTACAAAGCGCTGCCCGGCGAGGCATTGACTTGCTCGGTCGGATTTCATTGAGCAGCACCGTGCAGGCAGAATTACAATAAACACTGCCGTACCAGCCATGCATTTGTGTCCCAGATCTTGAGCGTGTGATCCATGCTGCTGGTCATAAACATGCCAGTATCATGCGGGAACCAGGTGACTGCCTCCACGCTGTACTTGTGTGCATCGCTTGTTGATCTGTGTGTGCAGACAGAAACAAACACAGACACACACAGACACACACACATACACACACATGCACAAATACATGCATACACAATATGCTATACCTGGCCGTGACACAGTTCCTTAGAAAGCAATGGCAGTGATAACAGTAGTCGGAGCAATTCCACTCTACAGTACTTCAGTACAATTAAATACTATTGTCAGAATCAACCTGATTGCTACTTGTAATCATATATTCTCCAACCAAATTGCATGCCTATCTAATATTCTAATCGAAAAGCAACATACTTAGCTGTTGTGCTGTTGATGACATTGCATACTTTCATGTTGCCGGAACTTCCCATTGATGACTGCTCCAAGTCATACAGGGCCACCGACCCATCACCTCCACCAGCAAGCATGCTGCAGAACAGTAGCAGCAGCAACAACAACCACACAATGATAATATATTTTTGATATTGTCAATAGGTATGTCAAACACTCCATTGAAATTTTGGTCTCTGTCTCTCTGAACAGCATTTCGAAAAGAAAAATTCAAAAGTTCGAGGGAGCTGAAACGGAAAAATCCCACCAACATTTCGGCCTTGGGCGATGTCAAGAATGATAAGAAACAACCAGCGAGGTGGACCTATAAACAAAGACTACATCAGGTGAGAAGACTACACCTATAGTAAGAAAACAATACATTTGCACTTACACTTTCGCACTAAGATAAACAGTGTAGTTGATGTGGTGAGACTGGTGTGTGTGTGTGAAGTAGCATTTAGAGGTGATGCCAAGCACGTAACAAAGTAGAACTAGAAGACTGTCGACAGTTATCGCTGACTGAAATGAATGACCTGAGGCACCTCAGTCACTCAGTCCTCCTTTCCCTGCACATGTGTACACTGTACACCGTAGTGACTGTACACTGCTGTCATCACTGCTAACTGCTAACTGCTAACTGCTAAGTTAGCAAACTAGTACGTACATGTGCAGGTATTTAGGAGTTGATATTCACACTGGTTTTAAAATTATAGGGTTTCAAAATGCACAATTGGGAATACACTCCGACGTCTCTTATCCGGGCACCTTGGGACCGGGCACTGCCCGTATCTCAGATTTGCCCGCATCTTAGGATAACTCATCTACCACGTATCATATCACTTTTGAAGAAGTTTATTCGGCACATACTGCACATGGTCAGGTTACAAATATAATCCATGGATAAAAATGTGTGGATTACACAGGTTGGCAGTGACAAAATTAATAAGCACTTGCGCATTCGCAAAAAAGTTCAAACCCCTAAATTCGAAGCATTTTTGCCATAGGAACTCAAGCTGAAGGTGTCCGGTAGAGAGACGTGCACGTATCTGAGGCGTCTGGATAAGAGACGTTTGAGTGTACTTTTCGGGGGGGGGGGGGGGGGGAGTAAAAATATTTCTTCCGATACACTGTGCTAGTTTAGGATGCTGTTTGCTTGTACGAGAAACACCTCGTGGCCCCAGGTAACAAGCGTGAGTCAGGATCGCTCATGGAGTAGTGCAAAACTGCTACAGTCAACTTCGCTAATAACGACTGCGGGTATAACGACAATTCGCGAATAACGACAGTATTTCCATGCCCAGAGCAAAGTCCCTTCCAACTGTTATACATATAATGAGACTTAGGGTATAACGACACTTCGCTAATAAGGACACTTTGTTGATGCCCCGCCGAGTGTCGTTATATGCAAAGTTGACTGTACCTGGGGCCTCACGAGATGCTTATCGCACTGGAAGCGGAGCATCTCTGTAAGTCTGTATCCCTGGTGAGCAACCAACCAGGAGCAACCAACGCTGTTAAACCTATTTCCAAAATTGAATGGTTATTGAATGGGTTTATACGGTAAGATTCTTGCTCATTCATTTAACCACACGGTATGGCCAGGTATACTTGAACAACGCCCACCCGCATGTACATACACAATAAAAGCCACGGAACCCTGGCTCCGCCTGCAGTTCTGTGTCTGTCAAGGCACAAGTTACAAGTTATGCCATTTGTAATTTTCTTGTGAAGTGCGCTAGGGGGCCAGGGAACTATTTGAAATAAAGATACAATACACTGCACATGTACGAAGCCTGCCAAGACAATAATAAAAATGGCATAGTAAGGAGCAGCCTTCCAGAGAGATAACAAATTTACAATGGTAAACCTGTACTTTAGCGCCCCCACATAATTATGGCACTAAGCACAACGCTGATATACATTGTACAGTGTAGTCATTTTAGTGCTGAAATCACCTGAATACTACATTTTTCAGTACAAGACATCCGACGATCTGGGAGCGCTAAAGTACAGGTTTACCTTTACAATTGCAGCGACTTACTATTTTCCATCATGCTTCTCAATATCCAGGGACTTCACAGATTTAGTGAAGAAGGGTTGGATTTCGTAGTCAGAATTAATGTCCAAATTCAGTAAGCGCTTCGTTACCACGTTACTGGACAGCTGCCAAGGGGAAATTCTTCCAAGACTTCTGTCTCGGAGCAAACCAGAAAGTACAGGCATTTGTGAGCAAAACACATTCTACATCATGGCCATATGGAGAGGTCTTCTTAGTTCTCAGCCACGCAGCGGGCATGTATTTACTGAACTGGATGACGATCGACGAATCGCGGAACAGCACAAAAACATTATAAATAATCCTTTCATTTCGAAAGTCACTTCAAAATTTAAATAATTTTTTGACTTGAAAATAAAAAAATTATCGCATCATTCCATGATTCGATTGCCTGGATCGATCATATCAACACGCATGCATGGCATGCAGCCAATCACACTGATCATGCATGCTGGGATCATGATGGTACCATTACGTGCCTCCATCGATCCTGCCCCTGGCCTGCCTTGACTCAACTCAGTATTACTAATACTATTAGATCTACTCACCAGTCACTGTGTCACTCACCTACTAGTGCTAGCATGCTCACGGTGGTGGCATGAGTCGATCGAGTGTGATACAGTTTGAAAATTATGCACAAATGGTGTAGTTGCAGGTTGAACGAAGGGCGAAACAGCGAACAAGAATCACTCAAAACGGCAAATGCCATTATTTCAGCCTCGCTGTGCCGTGTTGGTCTACATTTCCCACGTACGGCAGGCTTGGATCGAGACACGTCTTCATTGATTTTACGGTTACAGTCGATTCTAGATTCCCGATCACGGGCATTGGCACGATGGGCAAGGTGAAAAAAGGGGAGTCGATGGCTAAGACACAGCAGGAGAGCAATGGGAAGCCGAAAGCTGGTACTTGGACGTATTCAGAGTGGTCTACGCGCGACCCGCCAATGCTGACGATCATATTGACATACTTCCAGTACACTATCTTTGCTTTGATCGGCTATGTTGAAGACTGGTTAGCTAGTATTGGTGTGCTGAAAGTGCCCACGATATCCGAGCATGGCAATAAGGTAAAAGTCAGTAATTCTGTTTGAAGTGACACGCTAGATGTGATTATGAATCCTTTCCCCGCATTGAGGAATGTATTAGTATTATGGAAAGCAACAGTTACTAGCTGATTTGAAATGGGTTAATTATTTATACACGTGTTGCTTTGTTCCTTTGAAGTGACACTAGTTGCCACGTGAGTGCATGAAACATTATGGGTGTTCTGAGCTAAGGGATACGGCCTGTGCTAAAGCCGATGATCCCATTCCAGTGGGGAATATGTACTAGTATTCACCTACAGTCCATTCAGAAAAAGATGGACTTCTAGCTTTTGGCCATAAATGGGTCAAACTTTGAGTTTTTTTAGAAATTTTTTCTGCAATCCCCTATGGAATCCTCTTCCAATTATGTTTCTGAAGTTTTTTTGTCCAAAAAGCAAGCCATAACAAGAATAGGATTTCGGCCAGGTTTTGCCCCAAAAGCACTGAATTGGGAAAAACTATAAAAATCCAGGCCGTGTGACCCCGCCTGCAACAGTGCATTGTGCGGTTCGAACCCCAGTTCAGGTACCCTTTTTGGACCCTTTTTCAAATTTCAAATTTTGCAGTACTGCACTGTGTACGATGAAATCACGAAAAATCGCCAAATACAGGAGCTCGCCAGAGCCAGGACCCATCTTTTTATGAATGGACTGTAGACTGAAACCACACTGGGTACGAAACTGTGTAAACTTTACTGCATCGTATGCGTCACCAAGGACACGGACACAAGACGCAAAACGCACTGCGGTTCGTTTCAGCAATCTGAGGACCCTGTAGAAAGCAACGTTCCTGCGTTTCCTACGCGTTTTGCATTCCGGACTGCGCTGTGGTATACAGTTACATGACGATTGGCATGTACCAATGTCACTGTCACTATCAATCAAGTGCAGCGTGGTTGTGCATGCGTTTGCGAAATGCTGTACAGTACGCAAAGTCAAACTCGATTTTGTACGTAGTGTGGTGTCAGCCGAATTGGCGGGATAGAGTGTCTGGTCCCAAGGCAGTTTGCAACACAGGTTGTTCGTTAGCGTCCGAGAGTTGTCGTGAACGAGACGTCTCTTTGGTTATCAGGTTATAAAAAAAGAAAAAAAGAGGAAGAAAACCAGAGTACAACACTGACTGATGTGATAGTGACATTCAACGACCTGATGCTTAGCTGCCCTGGAATGCGCAAACCAAAACAAGATTTCATCTGTGCATGTACATGCTATAGCCCTAGACTAAAGTAGCCTACCTTTGGAAATGTCAGGTCTTTTGGCATGTGTCAGGGATGTAGTTGTGGCAGCGTCTTGACTGTTACGCACACAGCATTGTTCGAATAGGCTTGAGATGAATATTGGAGTTTTCTGTTTGTTTGTGCTCTGTTGCAGGGGTTTGTGCCGCTCTACAATGATTTTGAAAATTTCTACATGCGTCACCACTATCGCCGTATTCGTGACTGTTGGGATCGGCCGATATGCAGCGAGCCCGGTGCTGAGTTTGACGTGGTCAGTCGGATATCGCCCGACCATAACTACTCTTTCCAGTGAGTTCTCACATGGACAGGTCACAAGGTCACTAGCTGACACTCTGCCACAGCAGGCGGAAACTAGTGCCACGCTCCGTGCATGATAATTTCTACTTGTACATCCACTTTCTGTAGGGTTTTCCTGAATCGTAACCCTTCCTTTACCAGTCCCAACAGTAGTATTTGTAACTCACACCCGTGACCATATCTCACACCGATGACCATATCTCACACCCATGACCATATCTCACACCCATGACCATATCTCACACCGATGACCATATCTCACAAGCTTACGCTTGTGTTCGGTGCCTGCTTTTGTGTTTCAGGATGTCGAAGAAGACGACACATGCTATCAACCTCGGCTCGTACAATTACCTGGGCTTTGCGCAGAAAAGTGGCCCGTGCGCTGATGCTGTGGAGACGCAGACACGAGAGTATGGCTCAGGGGTGTGCAGTACTCGCCATGAGCTCGGTGAGTAGTGCTTGTGTATGTTGTACCGGCAGTGCAGGATACCAGTGTTGACCAAGTTGTTGTGGGTTTGTCTGACCTCTCTACGCGTACCAGGGAGGGAGGGGGCTACCTGTGTCCTTTGAAACTTGGTGAACCTACTTTACTGTCTTTCTCAATGTTCAGAGAGCTAGCTGGAGAGCTGCCCTATTTCTACAAAGTACAGCATGTGCAGACTATTTCTGTGTCGGTCTCTTTCCATGCACTGTACAGTGTGTGTGCACACAGTCCATGCAAATCTGTTGATCTCAATTCCTATCTGCAGTGTAAATAGTAGGCGTTTTCATGTCGGTGTTTTGATTCCAGGTAACTTGGCCTTGCATGAAGAGCTGGAAGGCCTGGTGGCACGGTACCTTGGCAAGGAGGCTGCCATGATTTTCGGCATGGGTTTCGCGACGAACTCCATGAACATGCCTGCGCTGGTGGGAAAGGGCTCTCTGATCCTCAGCGACAAGCTGAATCACACATCACTGGTGCTGGGATCGCGCCTGTCCGGGGCACGCATTGAAGTCTATGAGCATAATGACATGAAGAGTCTTGAGGCAAAGCTGCGTGAGGCCATCTCGACTGGCCAGCCGCGTACTCATCGACCATGGAAGAAGATTCTCATCGTTGTTGAGGGCATCTACAGGTAAGTGCTTGAAACACAAGTAGCTTCACGTGCAGTACAGAAATTTTAGGTGCTCAATATTTTCGGTATGAGCGCAACAGGCTAGGTTAGGTGAACAGGAATTTTCGGTACAGAGAAGCAGTTCCCTATTGGATTATGTGTGTTAGTGTTTGTTCGTTGTATTGAAATTTTAGGTGTGAAACAGACGCACCGAAAGTACCGAAAATAAAAGTACACCGAAAATTTGTGACAGTATGCTGTATATGAAGTTGGCATTACAATAGAGAGAGTCCACTTGGGTGTCTTTGGTACTCATGGTTTGGGGCAAATTACATGATACAACTGGTAAGACTTGGTGCATGACTTTGATAAGCCACCTTATTGTACAGGAGTACATGTACTGTGGCTGGTGTGTCCCAAGCTGACTGGCTCAGACCGTGATGTGCTCTCTTGTGGTGCAGTATGGAAGGAACAATTTGCAACTTGCCGGAGATCATTCGCTTGAAGAAGAAATACAAGGTTAGCTGTGAATTGAGTATCTGTTGATCCATGTGATCTCGATCTCAAGCATCACCATCACCAATAATTTCTGCCTTGAAATCCAGGGTGTTTATTACCGTATGTCTGCACCTTTAAAGCCATGGCATTATATTCGATTATAAAGCCAGTCTCAGTTATAAAGCCATGGGCTTCATAAATGAAATGGCATTTGAAGTATATTTTGCAAAAATGAAGGAATAAGTACTATGCTAACAAACTTACAGCCCAGCAGGAAGGGTGAACACTGAACAAGTAGATTTAGATTGAAATTTCTGTGTTGACTTTGACTTTTTATGGTATGGCGTAGTGGGTGAGTCATTTTGCATCTAAAATATCTAGGAAAGCAGCGGTGTTTCGAGTATAAGGCCATGGCTTTAAAGGTGATTACATACGGTATAAATTATGACTATGGCATCTGGCCAGTATAGTCATTGGGACCAGAAAGTCCAAACAAACACAAGGCTTGATATCGCAACCGGAGTTGTAATGCAGCGGATCCATCAAGACGTGCTGTTGTCTGTGTTCTTTCAGTCAATCCTCGGTAGTATAGTGGTAAGTATCTCCGCCTGTCACGCGGAAGACCCGGGTTCGATTCCCGGCCGGGGAGGACATTTCTTTTTTTTCTTTTTTTCCCCCATATGACATTGTATTATGCCAAGTTATGTGGTGCTGTACACTTACCATGCTCTTTTTGTTTTAAAATAGCAATGAAAAATATCAATTGTGCACTCATAACCATGTATAAACAATTAAAATGAAACAATTCCAGAACGTTTTCGTGTGACCATCATCAGTGGAACATCGTCACATAGTAAGAATCACTAAAACAACCAGTTATATAGCTAGAGTAATATGAAAAGAAGCGTGAGAATGCAGCACAGCTAGCGGTTATGCATAACGCGTGTAGTGTGAACCTTTGCAGTGTATCTGAGAATGGTAGCAGTAGATGAATGTGGCAGCTGTGAGTGCGTGTGAACAAAAACTGGTGAGTGCGTATTATTTAAAAAGTGTGAGTGCTACAACATTTTCTTTTACATTTTCTTTTTGCTTCTCAGATACACTGCAAAGGTTCACACTACACGCGTTATGCATAACCGCTAGCTGTGCTGCATTCTCACGCTTCTTTTCATATTACTCTAGCTATATAACTGGTTGTTTTAGTGATTCTTACTATGTGACGATGTTCCACTGATGATGGTCACACGAAAACGTTCTGGAATTGTTTCATTTTAATTGTTTATACATGGTTATGAGTGCACAATTGATATTTTTCATTGCTATTTTACGACTGTTGTCTCCTCGTCGGTTATTTAAATCTTTTTGTTTTATTTGTTATAATTTTATCCAGGCATATCTTTACTTGGATGAAGCACACAGTATTGGTGCGTGCGGTCCTACAGGCCGTGGCGTGACCGAGCTATTGGGCGTGGATGTGAATGATGTCGACATCATGATGGGAACGTTCACCAAGAGTTTTGGCGCCAGCGGTGGTTACCTGGCTGCTACACGGGTAGGTGTGTCTGCATGCAGGTGAAGCAAGGAGTGGCCAGGAACAGTACTGTTGTGCTACTCCACGACGTGTGCTGATGTGAATGCTATGAAGTGCAAAGCAATGGACCTGAATTTTTTTTAAATTGACAAATTATTTAGACAGAAGTTGTGATGTGAGTTGTACTGAAATACCTGCATAGTGCAGTTGATCCCCACAGCCATGTTACGTGTTAGACAGAAAAACCCACAATCCGACTAGAAAGTATACAAGTCTCTCTGGCAGCGTGCTGATGCCCCCCCCCCCCCCCACACACACACATACTACAGTAGGCATGGTGGACCATTGCAGCTGCTGAACTTTTGCCTCTGAGTCTGTGTTGGGCACTCAACGTCTTACAATGGTGCGTTCTTGTGTGGCCTTGGTGTGTTGTGCTGTTGTTGTCCAGAAAATCATCAATCACTTGCGTAAGAACTCGCACAGCGGTGTGTACGCATCGTCCATGTCCGTGCCGGTCATTCAGCAAGTACTCTCGTCCATGCGGATCATCATGGGAGAGGATGGTACCAACGAAGGTATGTCCCATAGTGTGGTTACTTTGGCATTGCTGCAGAGAGCTTGTTGACATGGCATGTTGTGTTGCTCTGTTTTGATCGGTCTCAATCAGGTCAGAAGCGACTGAACTCCCTTGCTGAGAACACACTGTATTTCCGCAAGCGCCTGAAGGAGATGGGCTTCATCATTTATGGCAACGAGAACTCTCCAGTCGTGCCTCTGCTTCTCTACATTCCCACTGTCATCGGGTAAGTATGACTCGTACAGGCAGTGTTGTAGGACAGGCTATGCATAGTGTACACTGTCATCGGGTTAGTACACACAGTGTTGTAGGGCAGGCTATGCATGGTGGACATGGTGTATAATTATGTCTCCATGTGTCATATACTCTTAACCAGTTTGGTGGCGCGTGGCTGGAGTGATATGGCTTGAAGATGTGGGTACAATGTAGTGCGGGAAATGGTTCTATCAGTGGAGTCTACTAGAGAACATGATTGCAAAGGCCCACTGCGGTGGTGAGTGGCCACTGGTACGAGTACTGTCTATTAAATTTTCTCCTGTTTCTATTCTGTGTCCTGTCCTGTCCTGTCAATGTCCAGCGCTTTTTCACGGGACTGCTTAGAGCATGGGATCGGTGTTGTTGTGGTCGGCTTCCCTGCCACGCCTATCATCGAGTCGCGCGCACGCTTCTGCTTATCTGCCGCTCACACACGGGAGATGCTTGACAGGGTATGTGGCAGCAAAGATACTCGAGAGAACTTCTTTGGAGTTTCTAGAATTATGTATTTCAACGCTTTTGCAGTTTGGTGTATGATGTTGCATTACTGAATATAGGTCATGTCATAGTATCAAGCTGGATGACTCCCTACAACTGTGCAAAACATACACTTGAATTAATTTTAACATGGTACCAACATAATGCTACCATGTTGAGTAGTAACGGCGTGTGCAAGTGGCGATGACATGTACTGATACACATGTGTGGACACTCAGTGTTTTGACCGTGCGTGTACCTCTGCATGTTTGCATGTGTGTGTGTGTGTGTGTGTGTGTGTGTGTGTGTGTGTGTGTGTGTGTGTGTGTGTGTGTGTGTGTGTGTGTGTGTGTGTGTGTGTGTGTGCACTGTGTACACTGTGTGCACTGTGTACGTGTGCGTGCGTGCTGTGTACGTGTATTGTTATCTACAGACCTTGGCTGTCGTGCAGGACGTTTGTGACAATCTCACTCTTTCCAACTTTAAACCACCACCAAGCAGTCAATAACTTAGCATGTTCTAAGCTCTGTGTTGCCTACGCTGTTCCAGTCTGGCAGGGTCCAACTGCCGGCTAAGCTTGTCCTGTTTCCTCCCTATCTATGTGTACCCTCCTTCCCCGTGAACCATCCACATTGATATGTTCACCAAATCAGCTTCCGCTTACTAGTATTCTTGTATCCTAGCGTGTACATACTTTTTATTTTATTTTATTTTTTAATATTCTCCTTTTGTTAAAGATAGCGTTTTAACTACTTGTGTTCCAAGCTGTTTTTGTTGTGGCTTTTCATCACTCTTTAGGCTTTGTTTAGACAGCACTATTTTTAACATTAATTTTTTTACCAATAGCACTAGTACTAGCCTGAGCTGAGCCAGCTGGCATTGAATATAATTATAGAAATGCCCAAAAATAGCCGACTGGTGTTTTTTATGCATTGCCATTGGTGGGAAGTGCTGACATAATGTGCAGTTGATGCATGAATGCTAGTCCAATGCTTCACTCTGAAATATATGTGTGGTCACGTGTGTTTGTGCTCTTTGAGAATATAATCCAATGTGAAACAGTTTTGTTCTGTGTGCGTGCGTGTATGTGTGTGTGTGTGTGTGTGTGTGTGTGTGTGTGTGTGTGTGTGTGTGTGTGTGTGTGTGTGTGTGTGTGTGTGTGTGTGTACTTGCACTTTTTATACAGTAACATTATGAGTATGTGCTCAATCTCCATAAAATGTATAGTACATATAAGGAGCGCATGTTTGTTCTCTGGATCGATAGTAGACTCAATTTGTGTGGTTAGTGGATTACTGTAGCATAAAAAGATGTTTGTGTACATGTCCCGCTAGCTTCTACCCTACATTTGTACGTGTGGTTACTTGCATCATACGTGTGCACACAGATTGAGACTATAGATATGTACCAACTAACCTGCACTGTATGCATGTTACTTGACGGCGCAAGCTAGGCATGGATAGCCTGTATGTATCGCAGTTTTCTGCTAGTTGCGGTGATTTTTGAGTAGCAGTAGATCGATTTTGCATAGCAAACGGCGATGCGATACCGGATAAATTTATCCCCGGTGCAAACAAAGGAACACACATAAATGTTCTTTTGAGAGTATCTTTCTCAGAATGTGATGACAGCACCCATATGTGTAATCCGCGTTGAAATCTCAAGTTCCCGCTGCTCCTGCCTGCCCAGATATGTTCCTGAAAAAGAAACGCGTGCAATTTGACTTCAGCAAAAATCAGTGTTATTTGTGTTTGCGTATCCCAATACACACTCCTTTTGGGGCTTCTCTGGACTGCCTGGATTCGGATAAGCACTAGCGAGGTAAAAGAATGGACCCAAGCAGTAGGATGACGTTAAAGAGCAAGCTAGGCACCACGAGGACGGACAGCAATCCGTTTGTCCGACTTTTCAAGAACAAGAGTTGCCTATGCACGTTTATTATTATACCCAGTGCAGACAAATTGTGTAAAGCATTCGGTAACCAAGGAAAGCGAGAAGCCATAGAAACGCGAAAAGGAGATATTATTCGAAAAGACCTACCTACATCATGTGCGCACACGTACACACACACACACACACACACACACACACACACACACACACACACACACACACACACACACACACACACAACACACACACACACACACGCACACATTCTTCCTCTCTTACTTGAGCCGCTTGTCACACTGAAGAACAAAGACTAGCTCGGTTGGGAAGGAAATGACCATTTGGC